AGACCAGCCTGGCCAACATGGTGAAACCCCGTCTCTACTAAAAATACAAAAATTAACTGGGCATGGTGGTGCGTGCCTATAATCCTAGCTACTTGAGAGGCTGAGGCAGGAGAATTGCTTGAACCTGGGAGGCAGAGGTTGCAGTAAGCTGAGATCATGCCACTGCACTCCAGTCTGGGTGACAGAATGAGATTCCGTCTCAAAACAACAACAACAACAACAACAAAAAACCCTGACCCAGTGGCTCACGCCTGTAATCCCAGCACTTTGGGAGGCTGAGGCAGGCAGATCACGAGGTCAGGAGTTCAAGACCAGCCTGGCCAACATAGTGAAACCCCGTCTCTGCTGAAAATACAAAAAATTAGGCATGGTGCCGGGCGCCTGTAATCCCAGCTACTCGGGAGCCTGAGGCAGGAGAATCACTTGAACCCGGGAGGCAGAGGTTGCAGTGAGCCAAGATCACGTCACTGCACTCCAGCCTGGGTGACAGTGTGAGACTCCATCTCGGAAAAAAAAAAAGAAAAAAGAATGATTCACTTATTTCATTTCTACCCTTTATTATAGTATTATAGTTATTTTTAATTTTTTCACTGTTGGTTCAGCCAACAAACACTTATTGGGAACCCACTCAACTACTTGTTGAGTTGCCTAAGTGGTATTATACTCCCAGTTTTATAGATGAGCAAGCTGAGACTCAGAGCCCAAGTCTATATTGTAAGTGGCAGAGCTGGGATTTGAACCTAGATCTGTCTGGCTCCAGTGCTCATGCTCATTCTGCTACATCAAGTTCATTCTGGGACATGTCTTCCTCAATAGAACTTTTTAAGGACAGAAACCATGACACTGCTGGTCATGCTGACTCATGCCTGTTTCCAACACTTTGGGAGGCTAAAGGATGAGGACAGCTTGAGCCCAGGAATTCAAGACCAGCCTGGGCAACATAGTGAGAACCTGTCTCTACAAAAAATAAAAAAATTAGTCAGAAGTGGTGGCACGCACTTGTGGTCCCAGCTACTCAGGAGGCTGAGATGGGAGGATCACTTGACCCCAGAAGGTTGAGGCTGCAGTGAGCCATGATAGTGCTACCCCACTCCAGCCTGGGCAACACAGCAAGACCCTGTCTCAAAAAAATAAGAGGAAAAGAAAAGATAAAGATAAAAGAAACCATGACACCTAGCAAGGTATTTTACACATTGTAGAATTTGAATAATGTTTGTTTAATGAATATAAAATGTGTTTTTAGAATAATTCAGGTTGATAGACTGATAATATGGGTTACTAACTATGAACATCGAGGATATTAGAAATACTCAGTTTGGGTTTCATAAGATGGTGGGAAAGTACCCCTCATCTCATGGGATGAAGTACAAAATTAACAGATATAAGAATGAATGAGGGAGAAAGAGTGTTTATATGGGGAGAGAGTGTTGAACAGGTACTAAACGCAATTTAGATTCTAATTTAGAAAATTTTTAAGGTTGCTTCTTGGTCTTTTCTGTACCTATGCACTTCAATTTAAAAAGTTACAAATAACGAATACTCAATTTCTGCCTGTCAATAGGCATTTTACCAGGTGAAGCCATTTTTCTCAGAAGACATAATATTTACTGCCTTGTATAATAATCAAAGATATTAGGCATCCATACATAGTTGACAGGCCATTCAGAGCAAGGTTAATTCTCTGAATTGGAAAAGAGTAAAAGCTATAGCAATGAGTACCACCTAGTGGCTACTCAGAAGATGTGACAATTTAGCCAACCTACTTCATTAGGAAAGGTTCAGCTTGCTATCAGTTGTAACTGTGATGGGCTCTCTGCACACAGAAGTTTGATTTCCAGCAGGAACCCATTTTCCAGATCCAGAAAAACTGAGTCCAGATAACTAACGACAAGTAATCACAGATTTGAGTTAGAAATAAAGCCATGTCTTGGACTTAACAGTGTGGAATGGGGAAATGTGAATAATAATGTTTCCTTCTTTGCTGTTTCTCCCCCCTGAAAAAGTATGTTAGTGACCAATCCGTGATCATTCTCCTTCCAGATGAGGAAATGGGAGAAAATATGGCCCAAGATCTGAAAAGGAAAATTCTTAAAGGGAATTGCTCACAAGAGGCTGACAAATTCTACTTTTAAAATGTTTGATGTAGCCAGGCGCGGTGGCTCATGCCTGTAATCCCAGCACTTTGGGAGGCCGAGGCGGGCAGATCACCTGAGGTCGGGAGTTCGAGACCAACATGGAGAAACGCCGTCTCTACTAAAAATATAAAATTAGCTGGGTGTGGGTGTGGTGGTGCATGCCTGTAATCCCAGCTACTCAGGAGGCTGAGGCAGGAGAATCGTTTGAACCTGGGAGGCAGAGGTTGTGGTGAGCCGAGATCATGCCATTGTATTCCAGCCTGGGCAACAAGAGTGAAACTGTGTATAAAAAAAAAAAAAAAAAAAGAGTTTGATGTAATTATAGACTTACAGAAAATTTGCAAGAAAAATACAAAGAATTATTGCTACACTGCACACATTTCACTCAGATTTCCCATATATGAACATATTACCATGCTTCTCCTTTCTCATTCTCTTTCCCCCATCCTCCACATATGAGCATGCACACGTGTACACACACACACACACACACGTTTGAGAGTAAATTATAGACATAATGCCCTTTTGTTCCTAAATACTTCAATACATATTTTCTAAAAACAAGGATATTCTCTTATCAAAGTCAGAAATTTATCAGCAGTGCAGTACTACCATTTAACAAACAGACTTTATTACAATTTCATCAATTATTCCACTAACAGCCTTTATAGCAAATGGAAAAAAATTATGGTCCAGGATTAGCTTTCAATTTATTATTATTATTATTTACTTTAGAACATTTACATCAAGTCAAATTTCTTTAGTATCATTTAACCTGGAACAAGTCTTTTTTTTTTTTTTTTTTTTTTTGAGACAGAGTCTAACTTTGTCACCCAGTGGTGCGATCTTGGCTCATTGCAACCTCTGCCTCCTGGGCTTAAGTGATCCTCCTGCCTCAGTCTCCCATGTAGCTGGCACTACAGGCATGCAACACCATGCCCGTCTACCTTTTTTTTTTTTTTTTTGTAGAGATGGGGTTTGGCTATATTGCCCAGGCTAGTCTTGAACTCCTGAGCTCAAGTGATCTGCCCACCTCCACCACCCATAGTGCTAGGATTAGAAGTGTGAGCTACCACACCCGGCCAGACCTGGAACAATTATTTAGTTTTTCTTTGCCTTTTATTACCTGGCCAAAAAACTTGAGTAACAAAATAAATAATAAATTATAACCCATAGGAAAAAAAGCCTCCAAGAATCCATAGGTTCAAATTGAGATGTGTGTGTGTGTGTGTATATACACACACACACACACACATATATATATACACACACATATACATGAATACCTGAATTAGGAATAAGGGAAAGCTCTTCTGAAGAAAATGTCAACTAATAAATGGAGAAGGAATTGTGGAATTTTAAAAAAATCACCATTTGAGGCCGGCGCAATGGCTCGCACCTGTAATCCCAGCACTTTGGGAGGCCAAGGTGGGCGGATCACCTGAGATCAGGAGTTGAAGACCAGCCTGACCAACATGGAGAAACCCCATCTCTACTAAAAATACAAAATTAGCCGAGTATGGTGACACATGCCTGAATCCCAGCTACTTTGGAGGCAGGGGCAGGAGAATTGCTTGAACCCAGGAGGTGGAGGTTGCGGTGAGCCGAGATCGCGCCATTGCACTCCAGCCTGGGCAACAAGAGTGAAAAAAAAAAAATCACCATTTGACAATATTAGTAATAATCAGGCAAAAATCATCAAGGGATGCTAAAGCTAGCATTCATTGATGCTCAGTGAAAGTGAATGATGGATGAGTAACAGAATATTTACACAGTTTGAAAGGGTCTCCCCACAAAAACACATACAATTACAGAAAGAAAAACAGTAATTTTATGTTGAAGAAACTGGCAGACACCACCTTAACAAAAGATCAAAGTTAACCTCACTAGTAATGAGATGAACAGGTAATATGTAGTTCTTGATATCATACCCTGAGAAAGACACAGTATCACTTCTATGGTATTCCTTCCCAAATGCATAGCCTGAATTAAAAAATGAGAAAACATTAAACTATCTTAAACTAAGGGACAATCTATTAAATAAATGGCTTATACTTTTAGAATCCTGCTTTGTAAACAAAACTTAGAACCCCCTACAGCCCCACCAGCACATGGGACTGGATGGATGTGTTAGTGTGCATGAGGGAGATCAAGTTCTTCAGGGTAAAGGCCAGTTTTCTTTTTTTAATTTAACTTGCACACAATGTATGCACAGGGAGAATCACAGGGCGATTGTTCCTAGGTCTTTTTTGATCTGGGAACACTGAGTCGCTCTCTCAGGAGATGACTGTGCCCATCCAATTGTACTAGTCATGCCAGGGCCAGAGGTGCTGTGCCTACCTGCCACTCCCATGGCTACAGTCACTGACACCAGGGGCCATGAGACCACATCTCTATTGTAAGGTGTTTGGCCAAGGCCTTGAACTCTAGAGGGAGTACTCTAGAATTTGGGGGCATTTTCCAAAAGGCATCACTACCTTTTGGAAGAGGACAAAAGGAATCACTACCCAGTGCAGAAGGCAGAAATATCTTGGCTCTGGGGAGTAAGAGCTGGGAAGCTAAGCTGATTCAGAAAAAGAAAAGTGTACTTTCTTAATGACAATGTAAGAGACAACTACTGAGCAGAGTTCAGTCTTTCTGAGGTGAGTTGGAAGAAGAGGAGGAGACACTGTAGCTACAACCCTTCCCTAATGCATTTCCTGGCTTCCTTATGCCACCCTTAGGCTCCTAACCAAGTCTAGGGGATGGGTCCAGATGGGGGACGGGCTTCCATCTTGGAAGCATCTCTGGCTCCAGGGCAATGGGTTTTCCTGTCTCCTCTGGGGGAACAGTGAGAAGGACATAGCCTCTTGGGTTGTTTTCCAGTGACCTATGGAATGACAAGCTCCAGTGCTTATTACTACACCAAAGTGATGTCTGAGCTCTTCTTACATACTGCATCAGACACTGGAGTCTCCTTTCAGGCCATCAGCAGCATGGCAGACTTCTGGGATGTAAGTATAAGATCTTTTCTACCCCTCCCCTCTCTTTCTCAATGGCCTGAGGCCACAGGTTAGACAATGGATCAGACCTTATGCTGGGAAATCAGGTCAGTCAGGGATCAGACAGAGTCAAAGGGCCAGGTTGAATTAATGGGTTAGGCTAGAGTTCAGGTGGAGGTGGGTAAGGGATTAATACAGCGATCAGGGAATTAAACCAGGAGTTAGACTAGTATCGGGAGTCAGAGGTAAGGCTGAACTTCAAAACGAATTTTAAATAAAGAGCAGGGCCACTTCAGATCAGACTCTGGTTTATTGGTCAATGGAAGAGTTTTAAAAAGCAGGCCAGGCACGATGGCTCACACCTGTAATCCCAGCACTTTGGGAGGCTGAAGCAGGCAAATCACCTGAGGTCAGTTGTTCAGGATCAGCTAGACAACATGGTGAAACCCTGTCTCTACAACATGGTGAAACCCTGTCTCTACTAAAAATACAAAAATTAGCCGGGTGTAGTGATGCATGCCTGAAATCCCAGCTACTCGGGAGGCTGAGGCACGAGAATCGCTTGAACCCGGAGGCAGAGGTTGTAGTGAGCCGAGATTGTGCCACTGCACTCCAGCCTGGGTGACAGAGTGAGACTCCATCCCTTAAAAAAATAATAATAATAATTTTTTTAAAGCAGACTGGAGACAAGCTGGGGAGTCAGAAGATGAGTGCAAAGGTCATCCTAAGGGTAGGGGGTCAGGAGGAGGCTGGGTAAGGTTCAAGCCAGCTTGTGGTTCAGTTTGCCCAGGGCCCACTACTGGACAGTTTATATTGGACCAAATGGTACAACAACCAGAGCTTGGGCCATGGTTCCCACTCCTTCATCTACTATGAGAACCTGCTGCTGGGGGTTCCGAGGCTGCGGCAGCTAAAGGTCCGCAATGACTCCTGCGTGGTGCATGAAGACTTCCGGGAGGACATTCTGAGCTGCTATGATGTCTACTCTCCAGACAAAGAAGAACAACTCCCCTTTGGGCCGCTCAATGGCACAGCGTGAGTGAGCCTGTCCTACCAATGTCACAGGGCTTGCCCCTCCAAACCTGACACCATCCGAAGGTATGGGAACCACTTCCACTGAGGCTTAAAGAGCCTCGAGAGCACTTCAGGGGACTTCAGGGGGCATCTCCCTGAATCCCAGCTGTGGCTGTTTGGGGACCTTGGTCTGTGTCACTCAGGAACAGAGGAGGTAGGTTAGCAAACACAGCCATAGCCTCCAGACTTGTTCCCACACACAGGTCGCAATCACACTTGTCCTACCTTGCATGCAAGTCTTCCACGGAAAGCTTCCTTTCTTGCCTAGAAGTTGGGTATAGAGAATGGGTGAAATTGAAAAGCCCAACGCTTGAGATTGATATGTGGAGCAGCAAGGGGTCAAGGATGGATGATGAATTAGGGAAGAAGGAAATAAGCACCGGGATAGAAAGTTTAGTGGATAGAATGGAGAAACATGGGGTGAAGGAGCCTGATGTACAGTCACAGAGCTGGAAGGAGCTTTTCCTTCTGGTCCAGGTGCTTCCCTTAGGGGGACTATTCAAGGTGGGCCAAAAGTGGGGCTTGGCTTTGTCATCCAAATCTTTGAGTGACATAGTGAAAAATCAGATTTGCATTTGAGTTTCAGTTCTGTCATTCATAGCTGCATTATTTCGGTAACCTCTTTCATAGTTTTCTCTTCTGCAAAATGTGGATAATATTCACGCTCCCTTCTCAAATGGTTGTTAGTATCAAACAGAATAATAAATGGTACACTATATATGTATATATCACATATCATATATATACACATACCCACAATATGTAAACCTGTAAAGCCCAGACAATGACAAAGCATTGTCATTGCCTTGGGAGATGAACTTTTGGGCTGGCTCGGCCGGCATTTTCTGTGGCAGGTGGACATACCACTCGCAGGATGAGTTGGGGGGCTCCTCCCACTGGGGCAGGCTCACAAGCTACAGTGGAGGTGGCTACTACCTGGACCTTCCAGGATCCCGACAGGGTAGTGCAGAGGCTCTCCGGGACCTTCAGGAGGGGCTGTGGCTGGACAGAGGCACTCGGGTGGTGTTCATCGACTTCTCAGTCTACAATGCCAACATCAATCTTTTCTGTGTCCTGAGGTGAGCCCCCTTTCCCTACCTCATTCCCCTGTCCCTGGCTCCTGGTTCCCATCTCTTGTGCATGAGACCCTTCTCTAAACTCATACCCTGTGGTGGGGGTGGAGAGGACAGGAAGTGGGAGGAGCTGTCCCAGCCCAGGCTCTACTAGATGTCTCCCCCTCCCCCCACAGGCTGGTGGTGGAGTTTCCAGCTACAGGAGGTGCCATCCCATCCTGGCAAATCCGCACGGTCAAGCTGATCCGCTATGTCAGCAACTGGGACTTCTTTATTGTTGGCTGTGAGGTCGTCTTCTGCGTCTTCATCTTCTACTATGTGGTGGAAGAAATCCTGGAGCTCCACATTCACCGACTTCGCTACCTCAGCAGCATCTGGAACATACTGGACTTGGTGGTCATCTTGGTGAGGGACAGATATCTAGGACTTGGGACATTCTGGGGGGAGGAGGGGGTTCCACCCTGATAGGGGCTCCAAGTTCTTCCTTTTGGAGCCCTAAGCCCTCCTTCTGACTTTTGGTTAAATCATCATTTAACAGCTCCCTAAGTGAGATGGAGATGTTCCCCTCTCTCAGCCCTTGGGAAACCCTGTCTCTCACATCTCCTCTCCTCCTCACTTGTTATCTGAGCCCTGCTCTTTTTTTTTTTTTTTTAATGTACTATATGCTGTTCCTTCCTTGTCTTTTATGACCTGTTGTGTGGAAACCCATGCCTTTTGTCTTCTATTCAAATATTCTGCCCCTTCATCTTCATCTCCCTCCTATTAACAGGACACATTCATTTCCTGACCAAAGCTTGGAAGTGGTGGGATTGGAAGGAAATGACTGGTTCCAGTTCCCTACAGCCCTTTACAATCTATATATTAATATTTACCACTGGCCCTAAACCCTTCTCTTGGGCTTTAGAACACTTAAGATGCTCCCCAGTCATCCTACCAAGTTCTATTTGAACCTGAGATAGTGAACAAGTCAGCAAGGAAGGCTTTTTTCTCACCTGTCTTACCTACCCTGGCTGTTCCTTGGGGCCTCATCTTGGAACTTCCCTTGAGATCCCCTTGCCTTCTCTGACACCCCCATGACCCCTGTGTGACAGCTCTCCATTGTGGCTGTGGGCTTCCACATATTCCGAACCCTCGAGGTGAATCGGCTCATGGGGAAGCTCCTGCAGCAGCCAAACACATACGCAGACTTTGAGTTCCTCGCCTTCTGGCAGACGCAGTACAACAACATGAATGCTGTCAACCTCTTCTTCGCCTGGATCAAGGTACCTGACACTCCCACACCCAGCTTTGCTTCAAGGAGTGCTCACTCTCCCTTCTTTTTCCCTTCTTCTTCTTCTTCTTTTTTTCTTTTTGAGATGGAGTCTCGCTCTGTTGCCCAGGCTGGAGTGAAGTGGCACAATCTCAGCTCACTGCAACCTCCGCCTCCTGAGTTCAAGTGATTATCCTGCCTCAGCCTTCTGAGTATCTGGGACTACAGGCGCCTACCACCACGCCTGGCTAATTTGTGTATTTTTTGTAGAGACGAGGTTTCACCTCATTGGCCAGGCTGGTCTCGAACTCCTGATCTCAGGTGATCTGCCAACCTCAGCCTCTCAAAGTTCTGGGATTACATGCATGAGCCACAGCTCCCGATTTTTTTTTTTTTTTTTTGAGACGAAGTCTCACTCTGCTGTCTGGCTGGAGTACAATGGCACGATCTCAGCTCACCGCAACCTCTGCCTCCCAGGTTCAAGCAATTCTCCTGCTTCAGCCTCCTGAGAAGCTGGGATTACAGGCATGCGCCACCATACCTGGCTAACTTTTTGTATTTTTAGTAGAGACGAGGTTTCACCACATTGGCCAGGAACTCCTGACCTTGAGCGATCCACCTGCCTCAGCCTCCCAAAGTGCTGGGATTGCAGGAGTAAGCCACCATACCGGGCTTTTTTTTTTTTTTTTTAAAGAAAGAGTCTCTCTGGAGTGCAGTGGTGCAATCTCAGCTCACTGCAACTTCCACCTCTCAGGTTCAAGTGATTCTCTGCCTTAGCCTCCCAAGTAGTTGGAATTACAGGTGTGTGCCACCACGTCCGGCTAATTTTTGTGTCATTCTCCCTTCTTCAACATGTGTCTCATTTTCTTTGTCTGGCTTGGCAACTCCTGTGGCCTCCATAGGCCCTTGGCGTGGTCTTTTCAACACTTTTCCTTTTTCCTTCTTCATGCCTTGGTTCAACATGGTCCTTCCAGATATTCAAGTACATCAGCTTCAACAAAACCATGACCCAGCTCTCCTCCACGCTGGCCCGCTGTGCCAAGGACATCCTGGGCTTCGCCGTCATGTTCTTCATTGTTTTCTTCGCCTATGCCCAACTCGGCTACCTGCTTTTCGGGACCCAAGTGGAAAACTTCAGCACTTTCATCAAGTGCATGTGTGTGTCCTACCCCCTTCACTCCTTCACTCCTCCCTGGCCCCTCAGCCTCCAGCTCCATGGGTGTATGTATCCTTGGGGAAGATGGGTACGTGCGTGTGGGCATGTCTGCGTTTAAAGCATTTCTGCGAGCGTCTCCGGAAGCCCTGGTGTGTGTGTGCTCAAATAATCTAAGCACCCTGCACTGTGTCTATCAGATTGGGGTGGACGTGTGGTGAGGGGTCTGTCTGTGGTTAGGAAAGTGGGATAGGGGGTGTTTATTAGGCTCTGGGTAAAGCCCAGACCTGGTCTCTCAGTTTCACTCAGTTCCGGATAATCCTCGGGGACTTTGACTACAATGCTATCGACAATGCCAACCGCATCCTGGGCCCTGCCTACTTTGTCACCTATGTCTTCTTCGTCTTCTTCGTGCTCCTGGTGAGGGTCTCTCTGAGGGGTGGGGACATAGCCTGCAGGGTGGAGTTTTTCTCCCAGTATGTCCCTCACTCAAGATTGATAAGTTTCTTAAATCAAGGATGGAGAGTGAGTGGGGGCGGGGGGGCAGATGTCTGGATCTTCTGAGAGATGGTTAATGTAGTATAGCCAGCATGGTCAGTTTGCAGGTTTGCAGAGTATAAGGGAACCTGCAGACTCCCTCAGTAAAATCAAAACCTCATTCTCCAAGGATGAAAAGGGGAGAAAAGTACCTCATGAAGAGTAGTAGCTGCACCTGGAAGCTTCTATGACTGTCCTCCAAGACTCCCCTTCCTCTGGGGATCTCATGCTGATTTCTACTGCCACTACTTGGTAGTTCTCTCTCCCTGCCAACCAGGAACAATCTGGATTTTAATTTACTTATTTATTTATTTATTTATTTCAGACAGGGTCTCACGCTGTCACCCAGGCTGGAGTGCAGTAGTGCAATCTTAGCTCACTGCAACCTCCACCTCCCGAGCTCAAACTATCCTCCCACCTTAGCTTCCTGAGTAGATAGGACCACTGGCATGGTCGGGAGCCACCACACCCAGCTAATTTTTGTATTTTTTGTAGAGACAGGGTTTTGCTATGTTGCCCAGGCTGGTCTCTAACTCCTGGACTCAAGCAATCTGCCTGCCTTAGCCTCCCAAAGTGCTGGATTACAGGTGAAGGCCACTGTGCCCAGCTCTTGGATTTTATTCTTACTAACAAGGCTGGTATTTTTCTTTATTTGATCAATGGATGGGGATACAGATATGGATTGGGGGGTAGATGGTAAAGAGATCATAATTGTACTCTCACCCTGAAAAGCTTGTAGTTCCAATGATTGATGGACCCTTATACGAAGGAGGCCTGTGGCATATGTTAGGGTATCTCTGTGGTCAGAAAGGCTACTGCAGCAACTGAGAGTGAGGACACCAGGTTGGTCAAGAAGCATGATCCATCTCTAACAGAACTGTGCTGAAAGGCTGGGCTCTGGGGACCCTGAGAGGCAGGGATTGGTGGGCTGCCGAGCTGGGATTGAGAGCGCTGACCCCTTTGGAACACGAGTCTTGGATTAATGGGATCAGTGGGCTCAATCCTTCCCGTGGGTCTGGAGGTGAGGACCCAGGTCCCCACTTTATTTTCCAGAACATGTTCCTGGCCATCATCAATGACACATATTCAGAGGTCAAGGAGGAGCTGGCTGGACAGAAGGATGAGCTGCAACTTTCTGACCTCCTGAAACAGGTGACTGCTCAGTCTCCTTGAGCTACACATTTCCATCAGTGCCGCAGTCTAAGGCTCTGTGTCCTGGTCTGTTCCTGACTGACTGAGGTGCCTGTGCCCTTGTGTGCATTTAATTTATCCTTGGAAGCCTGGCATACTATGAGTGGGGCTGGGGGCCAGGGATGAGTGAGCAGCCTGTGAGAATGTGTGCCTACTTCCTTTCCCTTTCAGGGCTACAACAAGACCCTGCTAAGACTGCGTCTGAGGAAGGAGAGGGTATCGGATGTGCAGAAGGTCCTGCAGGGTGGGGAGCAGGAGATCCAGTTTGAGGATTTCACCAACACCTTAAGGGAGTGAGCAACCAGAGACCCAGCCTTCTCTAATACCAGTCTCTTGAGTCCTCAACCCTCAACCATACTTCATTTGCCTATAAGCCTTTGGTTTTGGTTTAGGGGCCTCTGATCTTGACTTGCAGGCTTCAGATATTTGCCCGTAGGTCTCTGCTCCTGACCTTCAGAACTGTGCCCTTGGTTTAAAGATCTCTGACCATGTTCTATAACATCCTGGATCTTGTTGAACAACTCTTAGGAACCCATGTAATAATTCCCTAATCATTGAATACACACCCCACTCCCACAAAACTCTGATTTTTGTTCTATGCTTCCCCACGAACACTCATCTATTCCTTTAGCCATTCACTCCCTGATTCCTAGTCAAACATATTAATACACATTGAACAAATACATTGTGAGCACCAGCTGCAGATCAGGCACTAATAGACAGCCTAATTTTTTTTTTTTTTTTTTTGAGACAGAGTCTTGCTCTGTTGCCCAGGCTGGAGTGCAGTTGCACAATCTCCGCTCACTGCAACCTCAGCTTCCCTGGGGTTAAGCGATTCTCATGCCTCAGCCTCCTGAGTAGCTGGGACTACAATCATGTGCCAGGACGCCCGGCTAATTTTTGTATTTTTAGTAGAGATGGGATTTTGCCATGTTGGCCAGGCTGGTCTCAAACTTCTGGCCTCAAGTGATCCACCCACCTCAGCCTCCCAAAGTGCTGGGATTAGGAGACAACATAATTAAATAGGACAAAGTCTTTGTTTCCTAAGAACTCATAGACTTGCAAATAAACTGAATCACAGAAGAAGTTCAACAGAAGTGACTAGGAGTAGAGGGTGATCAATTCTATCTCTGAGCTTAAGGGAAGGCTTCCTGGAAGAGGTAATGTCTAAATAGGGTATTGGAGGATGGATAGCTCACAAGTGGACAAGCAGAGGAAGGCTGTTCCAAGAAGAGATGAAAACACATACGAAAGCATAGAGGTCTGAAACCAAGCAACATACACAGGAGGAATAAGTAGTTGAGCATTGCTAAGGTATTAAATCAAGGGGCGGGGACAGGGGGTGGTCATAGCAGGAGATGAGACGAGAGAAACAGGCAAGGGCCACACTGAGAAAGGCCACACTACCACTCTGCCAAAAGAATAGGGTAGCAAAAGGGATTTCAAAAAGGGACATTTTTAGACCTGCATATTAGAAAGGTTAATTATTTTAGTTGTATTATGGATGATGGATTTCACGGGTAGGGAGTAAAGGGGAAGCTGGGGGATAGCAGGCTATTTAGAGACAAACAGATTTTGCAATAATCCCTGTAGAAGCTCATGAGGCCCTGAACCTAGTGAGCAGGAGTCAGGAGAGGAAGAAGAAATAGAACCGAGTGTTTTCTTGGGGGTAAGATTGCTAGACTTTGGAGAACCTTCTTTTCCAGAAAGCAAAACTTTTGCCAGAGTCAAGCAAAAGAGTGAGGAATTCCATAACTGAGAGGTCACAGCCACAGCTGGGCAGAAATCATTTCATCATCCTTTTCTCAGACTGGGACATGCAGAGCATGAAATCACTGAGCTCACGGCCACCTTCACCAAGTTTGACAGAGATGGGAATCGTATTCTGGATGAAAAGGAACAGGAACAAATGCGACAGGACCTGGAGGGAGAGAGGGTGAGCTGGGTTGATGGGTGGCGAGACAGTGTAAGGAAATAGCTCACCCTCCCCTTCCCCCAACACACCTAGAACACAAACCCAACCTGAAAACTCTCCCATAGACAGTAAAGATCTCTCTAGAATAGTAGTTCCCAAACTGCTGCACATAAGAATACCCTGGGGGGCCTTTAAAAATCTTCATACTCAGGACACACACTCTAGACCAATTAAACCAGAATCTCTGGGTGTGGGGCCCAGACATCAGTACTTTTAAAAACTCTCTAGGTGATTCCAGTACATAGCCAAGGTTGAGAACCATGCTCTAAAATACAGGCTCAGGGAAAAATGACCAATTGCCCAAGAATCACTGATAATTCCCTCAGAGGACTTACCTTCTTCTGGGAATTTTCAAACTCGGATTCTTGGCTGTCCCTACTCTGCCTGCTCCATCCCAATCCAGTGTAGACCAAAAAAAGTCAAAGGCAGGGTGACAGCAGTCTAGAAAGTGCCAAGAACACTGGTAGTGTCCCTCCTCTGCTAAAATGAGTTGGCCTCTAGTAAACACCTCATCCATCAAAGCTTCTAGGATCTTGTGTTTTCTTTGAGAGGTGACTCCTCCAGAGGTTGGTCCAGCACCACCGCCCTGACCCTATTGTCTCCAGAGTCTGGGAGGGAAGGGGAATAGCAAGAACTAGAACCTGAGGCTTGATCCTGAGATCCTGGTAGAGGGGGTGATAGAACAGGAGCTGATGGCTTCCCAGAGTTATCTCCTCCCCTCTAACCTCTGACTTCCTGAGCAGGTGGCCCTCAACACTGAGATTGAGAAACTACGCCGATCCGTTGTGAGCACCCCACAAGGCGAGTCTGGTCCAGAGGCTGCCAAAGCAGGAGGCTGGGTTTCAGGAGAAGAATTCTACATGTATGTGCAGCCAAGAAGGACTGGCTCAGGGCTGGCAACACTTCTATTATGATACCCTATCTTGTACTTTTTCCCACAACTTTCCAATTCTCTGTCCTACCCCAGGGAGAACCTCTGCTCCCCTTTAATTCTGCCTACAAGGCTGGGTCTTCCCTTCCAGTTCCAATCTGGACACAAGCCCTTCTGTGAACCCTGCCTCTTTAGACATTCAGTCCCCAGACACAGATTTCTGCTCCATTAGTCTCCCTCAAATCCCGCACAGGCTCACAAGGAGAGTTCTGCAGCTGGAGACTGTGCTGGAAGGAGTAGTGTCCCAGGTTGATGCTGTCAGCTCAAAGTTGAAAATGCTGGAGACGAAGGGGTGCCTGGTTCCCTCCCCAGGCGTGGTGAGTGGCCCTTCACCTGGTCCTCCCAGTTCTTCACAGCTGAACTCTGCCATCTTTTCCACTCAGTGGGTGGGGCAAGAGTATTTTTGAAAGACCTATGTTTTCAGGCTCCTGGGGAAACAGGTTTACAGTGGTCAGCGTATCAGCAGAGATGGGTCATGGAGATAAGGCCTGGAAGTTGCTTGCCCTGGCCTAAGGGCTGCCTTGGCCACTCTGAGATGGTCTGTGTCAGTCTGTTTGGGCTGATATAATACATTATCATAGATTGGGTGGCTTATAAGCAACACAGGTTTGTTCCTTACACTTTGGGAGGCTGGGAAGTCTAAGATCAAGATGCCAGTAGATTCAGTATTTGTTGAGGGCCCACTTCCTGATTCATAGACAGCTGTCTTCTTGCTGTGCCCTTTCATGGTAGAAGGAGTAAGGGAAGTCTCTTTTATTTTATTATTTTATTTTATTTATTATCATTTTTTGAGACGGAGTTTTGCTCCTGTTGGCCAGGCTGGAGTGCAATGGCACGATCTTGGCTCACTGCAACCTCCGCCTCCTGGGTTCAAGTGATTCTCCTGCCTCAGCCTCCCAAGTTGCTGGGATTACAGGCATGCGCCACCACGCCCAGCTAATTTTGTATTTTTAGTAGAGATGGGGTTTCTCCATGTTGGTCAGGCTGGTCTCGAACTTCTGACCTCGGGTGATCCACCCACCTCGGCCTCCCAAAATACTGGGATTACAGGCATGAGCCCATTCATATGTGCTACATATTCACTATCTAATCCCCTCCCAAAGGCCCCACCTCCTAATACTATCACATTGGGGGTTACAATTTCAACGGATGAATTTGGGAGGGATGCAAACAGTCTATAGCAGTCTGAGTTCTCTGGAATCAGATACAGAGAAAAGAAAAGTGGTACACAAACTATTTATTCAAATGATTTGTCCCTTTCTTCTTCCAACAGGAGGAACAAGCTATTTGGAAGCACCTGCAGCCAGCCCCAGCTGTGACCCCAGACCCCTGGGGAGTCCAGGGTGGGCAGGAGAGTGGTGAGGAAGGGGGCCTAAAGCATCAGACAGCAGGCTCCCCTCCCTCTGCCTCCCCACAGGCCCCCTCACCGCATCCCCTGCACTTCTAGGACAACAGGTCCCGTCATGGCTGCTGCTGAGCCCTACCCAGAATCTGGCCTTTTGAGCCAATGTTTGTGTGTGTGGTGGGCATCATGCTTAGGCTTGTGACTCAGTGTTTCTGTGTGTTGCCACATAGCTCTGTGAAATAACATCTTCCACTGGGCCTTTTACTCCCTGTGTACTTAGCTCTGTGTGTTAATTTAAAAAAAAAAAAAAAAATTAGCAAACAGGATAAAGGGAGGGAGGGTAATGGCTCTTCCTAAGCACCTGGATAGCCATGGTTTGTGAAAAAGGTAGAAACCAAGAGAGTAGGCAGTATCTACATGTCTTCCTACTTCCCAGTGAATCTTATTCTTATCCTTTGTGCATCCCAAGATCTGTTGCTAGCACCCATGGGTTTCTCGTTTTCCCCTATAAAGGTTCCCTATAACAGAGAGAGGAAGCCTTAGAGGACAGGAGACGCTCAAGTGGTGAGATTCCAATGTTGCAGAGGAATTAAGTGTGAGGCACTCCTGGAGCAAAGTCTATGAAGGATCTTCTGCAAGAAGCTGCCTCCTGGTCCACTGAACCTGGGAACTGAGTGGGCTTCAACCAGGAGATAAAAATGGAGCCTGAAAGGAATCAGGCAAGGAAATGACCTCAGGATTCAGAGATCTTTGAATTAATATGTGGTGGGTTCTGACATTATTCTTCCATAAGACCATGTGGGTTTCCATGGTGGCTATCAATAAAACTCCTTAGGAAAACTAGGAGTTTGCATTTGCTTCTGGTATTATAGAGGGAAAAAAGGCTGAAATTGTGGGCCATCCATGTGCCTGGGCTGGAATAGTTCATGCTCTCTAGGAGGTATAGAGTAGGTGCAGTGATGTGAAGGAGCTGGGCTACCACAGGAGTCCTGAAATAAGAACTTCTAGGCCCAGCACGGTGGCTCATGCTTGTAATCTCCACACTTTGGGAGGCTGAGATGGGTGGATCACTTGAGGCCAGAAGTTCCAGACAAGCCTGGGCAAAATGCTGAAACCCTGTCTTTACTAAAAACACAAACAAATTAGCTGGGTGTGGTGGCGCGTGCCTCTAATCCCAGCTACTTGGGAGGCTGAGGCATGAGAATTGTTTGAACTCGGGAGGTGGAGGTTGCAGTGAGCCAAGCCGAGATTGCGCTACTTTACTCCAGCCTGGGTGACAGAGCGAGACTCTGTTTCAAAAAAAAGAACTGCTGGTTCACAGGAATGGCTTGAAATAGTGGCTACTATGGTTGCACCGTGGGAAAAGTGAGGACAGGTGACAAGTGAGACTCAGTCCTCAGAGTGGAGACAGTCAGGGCAGGAGGGCTGGGGATAAGGGGTAGCTGGTGTGTGTGTGTATGTATATGGTGTACTGGCATTGGGGTGGGGTGAGAGGGTGCAGATGGAGGATAACCAGAGATAAGATAAGAAACTCCTACACCAAGATTTTGGGTGTCCAGGAGCCTGCCTGAGGCCTGCTGAATATCTCCTCTCCCTTCTTCTGTGGCCTTTATCCCTCCTCATTTTGCACCTTCGATTGCTCCCCAGTCACTTCTTCTCACCTACCTCTTTCACTCCTGTTCTCCCATCCCATTAAGTACTCTGTACACCTAGGAGGCTTGTGAAACAGTTTAAATGCAATTAAGATAACCAGAGTGTATCCTCAGCTCTAAAAAAGTTGCAGTCCAAGCTTTCTTCAAGAAAGGCTGTATCAACTGAAGAGAAGTAGATGCCTGTCTGCAGTTTAAGAAATAGGGGCCAGTGAGTTGGTGTTAACCCAGGACATTGGGAGGGAGAGTATTTAGAACCAGGGATTAATGCCTGAATGTTTCCCCAAAGCGTGGACGAGACAACCTGTAAAACTTTGGATTCCCTGAGCCATCTTTTGATGACTAACTCCAGTGCGGAGTGTCATGGGAGGGGGCAACCTGTCTTTAGTGGTTTTGTTCAGCAGGCCACAAACAGGGTTGACTATTCCCAGACGGGTCATGAGTGGTACAAGACGAGTGATCCCTCCAGGGTGTGACTGTAGGGATGAGCTAGCCCTCATTCCCGACGTCGCGACTGTTGGCAGTGGATCGATTCATAACAGCCTGGCGTAGCTTCAGTTTCGGCTCCGGAATCACCCTTTGCTGTGTCGTAGACCTGAGGCTCGACTGGACTGCGAGGCACAGGACTGCAGGGCCGCCCGGGTGGGCGGGGCACACCCAGTGCGCATGCGCAGCACCCCGGCCCGGAAACAGTGCAGGGTCAGCCATGGCGGCTGCAGCCGAGGGCGTACTGGCTACCCGGCGTGATGAGCCCGCTAGAGGTACCCGGAATGGATGAGGAGGAAGCGTCCGGTGGGGGGCCTGGGGCTTCATCTCGGGAGGGCGAGGTTGAGTGTGTGGTTGGCTCACCTGGCAGGAACGGGCTGGTGGGAGGAGTGCACTTGTCTCTGCGCGCGAGTGTTTGTCCTGTCAGGGTGACGGATGGTTTAGCAGGGGTGCCGGGTATCGGCGAGGGGCTGTGCGAGGGAGGCGAGTTGGTGTGTCAGATGGGCAGGGACGCCGTGAAGGACTTGAAATTATGGCAGATGGAGAATGGAGCCGACTTGATGGAATGAAGGCAAGTGGAGGGATGTCGGAACAGGCAGTTTTGGCTGGATTAGCACCGGGTGTAGGCGGGACACTTAGTCATTCTCCCTTGGCCCAGACGATGCCGCCGTGGAGACAGCTGAGGAAGCAAAGGAGCCTGCTGAAGCTGACATCACTGAGCTCTGCCGGGACATGTTCTCCAAAATGGCCACTTACCTGACTGGGGAACTGACGGGTGAGACTGGGTCTGGGTTGATTCGAGTGCGGTTTGGCCCGAGAGGCCTGGGAGATGGTTAACAGCATCAGTCTACAGCTCCGTTCCTACCCTGCATGCCCTGAGACAGGCCTCTTGGAAGTTTGGGGACGTCATGAATGGGAGAGAAAGAGAATACAACTCTGCAGGCCTCTGTAACATAGACTAATGAGAAAACAATAACAAAAAGAATTAATATCCAGCAACATTAATCAAGAAGTGCTTCCTTGGGGAAAGTGTATTTTGAGCAGGGTTGTGAAGGGAATTGTTGGTGGAAAAGGGGGAGATGATACAACTAGTCAATGACGTGGTATGTGCAAGCAGTGTGTTTGGCTAAAGCAGAAGATGTGTTTACTGGGATAAAGGGAAATGAGGAACAGGGAATGACCTGTAGATTTAGGGACCTATTAAGTTGGTCTGAGGATTTGATAACCCACGCTTTGGGACATGACTAGTGTTTGATTGTTTCCCAGTGGACACATGACCTATGTGTGGAGGAGGATCAGAAAGTGAAGTATGGACCGGACGCGGTGGCTCACACCTTTAATCCCAGCATTTGGAAAGCCGCTGGTGGATCACTTGAGGTCAGGAGTTCGAGACCAGCCTGGGCAAAATGGCGAAATCGTGTCTCCACTAAAAGTACAAAAATTAGCTGGCCGTGTTGGCAGGCGCCTGTAATCCCAGCTACTGGGGAGGCTGAGGCAGGAGAATCGCTTGAACCCAGGAGGTGGAGGTTGCGGGTTGCAGTGAACTGAGATCATGCCACTTGCATTCCAGCCTGTGTGACAGAGTGAGACTCCATCTCAAAAAAAAAAAAAAAAAAGAAAGAAAGAAAGTGAAGTCTGGGCCAGTACAGCATCTCAAAAACATTTATTAAATTGTTTCACTTCTCCCAGGAAATTACTGTAAGCTAAATTTGTGAATGAGAATCTATGAGAAAAGGCTTGATACAGAATAGTAGGGGTTGTGAATCTGTAAATTTTTTTTCTTTTTCTGTTTTTAAGAGACAGGGTCTCACTATATTGCCTGGGCTGGTCTTGAACTCCTGAGCTCAAGTGATCCTCTTTCCATCTATTTTGGTTTTAAGCCTGGTATCCAGTCTTAGTCTGCTTCCATCCCTCAATATCTACTTGAACAAGTCCTATAAATTCCACTTCTGTAATGTTCTTGCTCCCATGCTCTCCTTTCCATTCCTTTTACCACCACTCTGCCTGAGATCTTCATTACTTTTCTTTTATTATTATTATTATTTTTAAAATATGACCAGGCATGGTGGCTCACACCTGTAATCCAGCACTTCAGGAGGCCGAGGTGGGTGGATCACCTGAGGTCAGGAGTTCCAGACCAGCCTGGTCAACATGGTGAAACCCTGCCTCTATAAAAATGTAAAAATTAGCCAGGTGTGGTGGTGCATGCCTATAATCCCAGCTACTCGGGAGGCTGACGCGGGAGAATCACTTGAACCGGAGAGGTGGAGGTTATAGTGAGCTGTGATTGTGCCATTGCGCTCCAGCCTGGGCGATGGAGGGAGACTGTGTCCTAAATAAATAAATAATAGAGACGAGGTCTGCTCCGTTGCCCAAGCTCGTCTTGAACTAATGGCTTCAAGTGATCCTAATGCCTCAGCTTCCCAAGATGCTGGGATTACAGGTGTGAGCCACTGTGCCCAGCTGTGACTCTCTAAGTTATCAGCCTGATTATTTATTTGTTTGTTATTTTGAGCAAGAGAAACCAGGTAACAAAATGTAGACCTTTGGCTTCCCTTTAACAATTCCAAAGATTTGGCGCTACTAGCCCCTGCATTCTTTCAACTATCATTGACTAGAGCTGAGCAGCTGCCTCTTTTAAAAGGACTAGTGCTATCTAATTTGTCCTTACCACTTCCTGTTTTCTCCCCTTTACTGAGAGCTAGTGTCAACTGCCATTGATCACTGTTATTTTTATTAGTAGCAGTACAGAAATGGTTTTCTATACCAATGCCTCTGTCAAAACTGGTAAAGCAAATGATGGGCAAAGAGGACCACATATTCCAAGAAGTAAGGGGAAGCATATTTCTTCGTGGAAGTGAATAATTTTCTTATGCATTTAATGTGCAAACACTTGGCTTACTTTACTCATTTACATTATCTTGGTGGCTTCTAGGTGTTTGAATACATCACCCCTGTTTTATTTTATTTTATTTAGATGGAGTTTTCACTCTTGTTGCCCAGGCTGGAATGCAGTGGCACAATCCTGGCTCACTGCAACCTCTGTCTCCCCGGTTCAAGCAATTTTCCTGTCCCAGCCTCCCGAGTAGCTGGGATTATAGGCACATGCTACCACGCCTGGCTAATTTTTTAGTACTTTTAGTAGAGATGGGGTTTCTCCTTGTTGGCCAGGCTGGACTTGAACTCCTCACCTCAAGTGATCGCCGACCTTGGCCTCCCAAAATGCTGGGATTACAGGTGTGAGGTGCAATGCCTAGCCATGATCTTTGTTTTAGAGAGACTAATTTGATAGCAGTATAAATATGAGAGTATAGATATGGGGGAGAGAGAACAGAGAGAGATGAGCAGTAATTCAGATGAAAAGTAATAGAGGACCAGGCACTGTGGCTCATGCCTGTAATCCTAGCACTTTGGGAGGCAGGAGGATTGCTTGAGGCCAGTAGTTCAAGACCAGCCTGGGCAACATAGCACGACTCCATCCTGTTGTCTTTTTTTTTTTTGAGACGGAGTCTCACGCTGTCGCCCAGGTTGGAGTGCAGTGGCTCGATCTCGGCTCACTGCAAGCTCCGCCTCCTGGGTTCACGCCATTCTTCTGCCTCAGCCTCCTGAGTAGCTGGGACTACAGGCGCCCGCCACCGTGCCCGGCTAATTTTTTGTATTTTTAGTAGAGACGGGGTTTCACTGTGGTCTCGATCTCCTGACCTTGTGATCCGCCCGCCTCGGCCTCCCAAAGTGCTGGGATTACAGGCGTGAGCCACCGCGCCCGGCCCATCCTTGTAGTCTTGTCTTGTCCCCTACCATCCAGAGGTTACATGCTCCAAGTAATCTAATAATAATAAAAGTAATGACGATCTGAGGCAGAGTGGTGGTAAAAGGAATGGAAAGGAGAGCATGGGTGCAAGAACATTACAGAAGTGGACTGTATAGGACTTGATTAAGTAGATACTGAGGGATGGAAGCAGACCAAAATGTATCTGAGGTTTTAAGCCTGGGTGGTGCCATCAGCCAAAATAGCTGGAAAGAGGAACCATGTTTAGTGTGAAAATATTTTCAGTTTTGGGTTGACTGCTTGTTGATGTAACTAGGGAACTCAGGTGACTTATACATTGGATTCCAGAGCTCAGAGACTGATCAGAGCACAAGAAACAGATTTCAGAGTCACTTTCATAGTGGTCCGATTGGAGGCTGTGCAGGATGAGATTGCCAAGGAAGAGCTTAGAAGTAGGTAAGAGAGCCTAGGCTAAAATGTCAGGGAATGTGTATATGGTGCACTTAATTTGTTTTTAATAACACTTAACGTACCTAGGTTTCCAAATGATTTATTATATAATCAATTTTAAGCAAATTGTTCTTTTCCTATGATTGTTATTACTTGCACACATGCTTTATTGAATTTAAGAGTAAATTGATATTTCCTCTTAAACTATGCTAGTTTCTAGCATAATCCTGGGAATACCCATAGGTATGTGCTACCCACATAAACATCAGTTACGTGTTACAGCTGAGAAAAAGTTGAGCGCTGATAGTTAAGGGGGTCTGATAAGAAAGGATCTGGCATAGAAATCTAAGAAGAGCAGTTAGAGATTAGAAAATCGGTATAGTACAATGCTATAGCAGCCAAAAGAAATGAGCATTTCTCAAAGAGAAAGAGATCAGTAATGTCCAAGACAATGAGAGGTTTAAGAGGATAAGAACTGAGCAAATGCCATAGATTTGGTGGTTAGCAGGGCACTGATGACCTTGGAACATGTAATCTCGGGATGGTAGGGCCAAAGACCAGACTGCAAGGGTATATGCAAGTAAATGTTAAGGAAGAGGATGTAGTGAGTGTCAGCTACTTTTTCAAATTGTTTAGCAGTGAAGCTCCTTTGCTTTACTGAGCAAATGATATAGGTGTAGCAGAATAGAGAGAGTGCTTTTGAGCTGGAGGAAATCTGAATATATTGCTATATAGAGAGGAAGGTGCCAGGAGAGAGGGAAAATTTGGAAGTGCAAGTGAAAGGAGATGATTGAAGAGAGGCCCTGAAGAAGTAGAAGTGTTTGGGATCAAGGCCACAAGAGGAGGGGGTTGTCTTGGCAAGAATAGGAACACTTCTGCCTCTTGGGAAGATATCAAGATCCAGAGAAGTTTAGAAGTAAGGCAGAGAGAAAAACAAAAAACAAAAGAAGTAAGGCAGAGAGGTTGAAGCAGCTTATGTTAATAGACTTGGCCTTTGGGAAAGTTAGAGTAGAGGCCATTTGCTTTGAATGGGGATAGGGAAAGAACTGAGGATATGAGAAGTAGACAGATGGTTTGGAAATGTCACTGCATAAAATGCAATATAGAATTATACATGGTAATAAATGAGTTAACTAAGAAGTAGTGAGGTCCTAGCTGATTGTGTGTATGTGTGTGTGTGTGTGTTTGTGTGTATACATTTATATATATATATACACATTTTTTTTTTTTTTTTTTTTTGAGATGGAGTCTCACTCTCTTACCCAGGCTGGAGTGCAGTGGTGCGATCTTGGCTCACTGCAACCGTCGCCTCCTGGATTCAAGCAATTCTCTGCCCCAGCCTTCTGAGTAGCTGAGGTTACAGGTGCCTGCCACCATGCCTGGCTAATTTTTTGTATTTTTAGTAGAGATGGGGTTTCACTATCTTGGCCAGGTTGGCCTTGAACTCCTGACCTCGTGGTCACCCACCTTGGCCTCCCAAAGTGCTGGGATTACAGGCATGAGCCACCGCGCCTGGCCTGATAGTATGTATATTATATGTATGTATGTTAAATGTTTTCATGCTGTAGAAGTACCAAGACTATTTTACCTCCCTTTTCTTAGGACATGAGTTTATTATTTCCCTTTATAACCATGATCCTGAACCTTCTGGATCTTGTTTGGTTTAAATAATTTTCTGATTGTTGCCTGAATTTCTACTGAGACTTTCAGAGTACATAGGCTGAGTTATAAATATCATAGATCAAAAGTGGCCCACTCCATCGACACTTCCTTGGTCCTGCCTTGAACTACCACTTAGCCTATACTCCCACATTCTAATGATCTAAGACAAATCTTAAAGGCATTACATCTGTTTAATTTTCAAGCCACCAGTGAAGACTATAAGCTCCTGGAAAATATGAATAAACTCACCAGCTTGAAGTATCTTGAAATGAAAGATATTGCTATAAACATTAGTAGGAATTTAAAGGACTTAAACCAGAAATGTAAGTAATAATATTTTTAATTAAACATGTTTGTATTTAATGTTCTTTTGTGCTTGGGGCCATGGAGAAGAGGAGGGAACATGACATCCTTGTCTCGTGGGAGCTTGTTTTCTAAAATGAATTCCAAATTTAAGATGAGTCTCTTCCATTCTGAGGATTAGCATGTTTTGTTGGTATGGTTATTTTTGCTTCTAGATCTTGATTTTATCAGTTTATTCCTGGAAGGGAGGGGGCGAAGGAGGGGTGGCCAGATTCTAATGAACTGATTTGCAAATCCATAAAGGATTACTCTATAAGCAGAAAACCAAAAACTCTATAATGGAAAACACTAATTTAGAGTAATCGAATATATTTTTTCCATTGATTTATTATTTTTGTGTTCCCTTGTCTCTAGGGTACTCTTTCTTGGTATGGGAGTACCCAAGAAACAGAATCAGTAATGGAAAGATTGCTTGAGGAGCAAGAAATTGAAAAGAATGGAAAATTAGTAGATGAGAGACACTAAGTCTGGGCCACAGTTGAGGCTGATCAACTAGCTACTGTCTTCTAAAGCACCTGCCCTGCTAGTGGTCAGAATCATGTCATTCCACCTAATCTGTCTTAGCATAGCTGGAGAGACACTAGCATTATTACTTTTCCACTCTTTTCCTATATTCCTTGTTGATAAAACCATATAAACATGAGTTTTTTCTTTGTTTTTAAAGATGCTGGACTACAGCCTTATCTGGATCAGATCAATGTCATAGAAGAGCAGGTAGCAGCTCTTGAGCAGGCAGCTTACAAGTTGGATGCATATTCAAAAAAACTGGGTAACCGTTTTTATTTTTGTTTTGATATAATAAAGAGTGCCTCTTGCCAGCATGTCCTTAGTAAACGTAATAGTTAACATTTATGGTGTGCCTACAGTGATCTATTAATCTTCACAAAACCTTAGTAATTTATTATTATATTAATAAAAACAACATTTCCTGATTACTTAATGATATATCAGGCACTGTTCTTAGTGCTTTACATGTATTATGTTTATTTTTTGTTTTGTTTTTTTTGAGACGGGTTTCATTCTTATTACCGAAGCTGGAGTGCAATGGTGCGATCTCGGCTTACCGCAACCTCCACCTCCTGGGTTCAAGCGATTCTCCTGCCTCAGCCCCGCCGAGTAGCTGGGATTACAGGCGCGCCACCATGCCCGGCTAATTTTGTATTTTTAGTAGAGACGGGGTTTCTCCATGTTGTCAGGCTGGTCTCGATCTCCCAAGCTCAGGTGATCTGCCTACCTCGACCTGGCCTGTATTGTGTGTTTTATCTTCCCAATAATCTGTGAGGTGAGTACATGATTTTTGTTTTGTTTTGTTTTTTGTATTTTTAGTAGAGACGGGGTTTCACCATGTTGGCCAGGCTGGTCTTGAACTCCTGACCTCGTGATACACCTGCCTCAGCCTCCCAAAGTGCTGGGATTACAGGCATGAGCCACCACGTCCAGCTTAAGTACATGATTTTTATCCCTATTTTGTAGGCAAGGAAACTGGTTTAAGGGGATGAGTAGTTGCTTAAGGACACAAAGCCAGTACATGTAAGAGTCATATTTCTAAGCAGGTCTGTTTGCTTACAAAGCTCAAGTTCTTATTTATAGTTGAGAAGGCAGAAGCACCTTTAATAATGTAGATAAATATGTCTTAAACAAATAGTCAGTTGAGGATTTTCTTGAAAGATCACTTTTCCTTTGAGGAAGAAACTGGTACTTTTAGTGCTTGTGGCTTACTAACTGGCTCTGGCTCTTACATACATGGTTAAAAGTAAAGAATTTAGTGCTTTTTTGTTATTGTCTTGTTTTGTTTTGTTTTTATAAGAGATGAGGCCTTGCTGTGTCACCCAGGCTAGGGTGCAGTGGCGTGATCATAGCTCACTGTAGCCTTGAACTCCTGGGCTCTAGTGATCCTCCTGCCTCAGCCTCCTGAGTAGCTGGGACTACAGGTGTGCACCTTCGCATCCAGCTACTTTAAAAAATTTGTTCTTGAAACAAGGCCTTGCTGTGTTGCCCGGGCTGGTCTCAAACTCATGGCCTCAAGCAGTCCTCCCACCTCAGCCTCTCAAGTAGCTGGAATCACAGGCCTGAGCCATCACATCTGGCCTGAGTTTGTTTTTGTCCTAGATAACATTTATAGATTATTTTATTTTCATCATTTAACAAGGGCTGACTACTTCAAGAGAGTAGTTTGTAGTAGGCTGGGATTTGATATGGGTGGTGATTAACAATCAGTTTTATTTTCTACCATTACATTTAGCCAATGATTACTGTGAACCTTACTGTGTACAAGGCAGGGGTAACCTTACCATGTAGAAGGTATCTTGGTTCACAGTAACCATTTGTGACAGAGTCCCTTTTTCTGTTAAAATTGTGAAACCAGGTGCTTTCATGGTTTTAATAGAAAAATGGGATGTCACAGTAAGAGGCTTATTTGATGGCCTTTTAAATCTCTGTATCTTTCAAAATTGCTTTCCTGGAGTAAGGTGTAAGGATAAGAACATAAAAGAGGAAACGTACATTTATACTTCCTGAGGGTTCCAGTCTGGTTCCAGAGGGCACCTGGGACAGTGCTGAGAGAGGCAGTTTTTTAGTAAGGCTCCCAATAGGTCAAGTGACAGATCTGCCCCATCCTGATGGAGCTGTCTAAGCAGGTGCTATTGACAGGGTTAGGACTTCGTGAACCTGTGTTAGGCTCTCGATTCTGAGTGTCTGTGCTTGAATTCTTATTCCAAGTTTTACAGATCAGTGATCTGTATATTTGGACAGATGATGAGATAGAAGCTAATAGATTTTTAGCAATATAATACGTATTTTTTTTAACTTGACTGGAAATGCTAACTAAAAACTGTCTTTGTAAGAGCCAGTTTTAAAAGATGTAACTCTCCCTCATCCCTCACAGAAGCCAAGTACAAGAAGCTGGAGAAGCGATGAGAAACTTATTTTTATGGGACAGAGTCTTTTTTTTTAATGTGGAAGAATGTCTTATAAAACCTGAATCCTGAGGCTGATGAATTGTGAAAACTCCTCAAAAGGAAACTATGCTGGTCATCCCAGGAACATCTCAACGTTAGAGTAAACTGGAGGACTGTGGCTATTCCTGAACCTTCTTTGAGGCAGAATCCCTCAGAATCTCACACTTATAACTCCCTACCTTTTACTTGAATGCTTTACCATATTCAGGACAGAGACTCTCACAAAGTTCAGAAAACAGCTGGGCTTACCAGTAAAATAAAATGAGAGGACCTATTTTCTCTGGTAGTGGTTGATTACTACATTATTTTCTTAAGTGGCTGGTTTTTGAGTTACTATGTAAATGGCTGTTTTTTCTGTTAATGATGCTAATGTGTTGTAAACAAGATTCTAAATTTAAAAAGGAAAACAAACTTGTTCTTTGCAGCTTATCACCTTGTGAATGTTGGTAACTTACTTTTCCATAATATTGCAAATAACATAAAATGTTAAAATAATTCCAAGCTGAGTCTTCTAGATTGAGCAGAAATGGTGAAAGGAGTATTGATAACTTGGCATATGTGATGGGCCCTTCTTGTTTATTTTCTGTGTGAGTCAGATTGACATGTGGCCAGTTTTGGAAATGTGATGAAAACAAAGACTAGATGGGTATGTGTGTTTATGTGTTGGGTGGGGAGTTGAGGATTGCCACTTATAAAATAAAGGATTTTATAAAATGCCTTCCTACTGTGTGTGTGGATCGGGGGGGATCTTAGGGACCTAATCGACTTCTTTTCACACTAAAGACATCAGACAATGGGACATACTGACTGACCAGTCTAGGTTGAAAGATAGGCAACCTTACCCAGAACACAACATTAGCAGCTGAGAAGGTGTCTGAGGTCCCCAATTACATATCCCAAAGAGTTTCTTACTTCTGTTTCTGTCGTTTCCCCTCTGTTCCAGATGGTCATCATTTATCCTCTGTTCTTCTGGACTGTTGCTGTGGGCTCTTCTCATCTTAACTGTCCCTCCATACCACCCTCCACACTGCTGCCAGAGCAGTCTTAAAAATATAAACTGGCCCTATTACTCCTGCTTAGAAGCCTATAGTGATGTATCATGGCCTGTTTGAAAAAACTAGACTTTCATTACACATACAAGTCCCTTATGTTTTTTCATTTGTTTATAGACAGGGTCTCTATTGTCACCCGGGCTGGAGTGTGGTGGTGTGATAATAGCTCACTACAGTCTTGACCTCTTGGGCTCAACTGATCCTCCCACCTCAGCCTCCTGAATAGCTAGGACTACCAGCATGCTCCACCATGCCTTGCTAATTATTTTTTATACAGATGGAGTCTCACTATGTTGTCCAGGCTGGTCTTGAACTGGCCTCAAGTGATTCTCTTACCACAGCCTGCCAGAGTGCTGGGATTGTAGGCATGAACTACCATGCCTAACATAAGGCCCTATTTAAACATCTTTTTAGAAGTTGTAATATGTATATTATTTTCTCCCATTATAGAAAATAAAAAAAGAGGAATTAAACTGTAACTCTACCATCTCAACATAGAATCAGTCTTACCCCTTCCAACCCTTTTCCTTTTCCATGCATGTATTGATCTTTTTTTGGTTTTTTAGATGAAGTCTCGCACTGTTGCCCGGGCTGGAGTGCACTGGTGCAATATCATCTCATGGCAACCTCTGTCTCCCAGGTTCAAGTGATTCTCCTGCCTCAGCCTCCCGGGTAACTGAGATTACAGGTGCCTACCACCACACCAGGCTAATTTTTGTATTTTCAGTAGAGATGGGGTTTCACCACGTTGGCCAGGCTGGTCTCGAACTCCTGACCTCAAATGATCCACCCACCTCGGCCTCCCAAAGTGCTGGGATTACAGGCATGAGCCACTGCGCCCGGCCATATTGATCTATTTTTTAAAAGTTTTTATTTCCTGTTACACTGTGTTCAGCTATCTTTAGCCACCTTAAATTCCCATGGATGAGTTTTCATAAACTTTTGTAGAATAGATTGAGATTTACAGGAAAGTTGCAAAGATAATACCGAATTTCATGGATGAGGTTTTTATACTGATATGTAATAAATGTATGTATTTTCAGAGTACATGTGATAATTTAATACATGTATATAATGTATAAATATTAAATCAGAGTTATTGGGATATCCATCACCTTAATATTTATTTTGTCTTTATGCTAGGAACATTATTTGAATTATTCTCTTCTACCTATTTTGAAATGTACAATAGATTAACGTTAGCTATAATCACTCTTCTGATCTATCATAGGTCTTATGTCTTCTGTAGTTGTGTCCACTAATCAAACTCTTCATCCTCACATCCCCACTACCTTTCCTGGCCTCTGGTAACCACCAATCTACCTCCATCTCCATGAGATCCACTTTTTTAGCTCCCATATGTGAGTTAGAACATGTAATATTTGTCTTTTCTGTGCTTGGCTTAGTTCAGTTAACACAATGACCTCCAGTTTCATCCATGTTGCTGAGAATGACAGAATTTCATTCCTTTTATGGCTGAATAATATTCCATTGTGTATATATACCACATTTTCTTTACCCATTCCTCCACTGATGGGCACTTAGGTTGATTCCATATTTTAGCTATTGTGAGTAGTGCTGCAATAAACATAAGAGTGCATATATCTCTTTGATAATATTGATTTCCTTTCTTTTGGACACATACCCAATAGTGGAATTTGCTGGATCATATTGTAGTTCTATTTTTAGTTTTTGGAGGAAACTCCATACAATTTTCCATAGTGGCTGTGCTAATTTACATTCCCACCAACTGTGTATAAGAGTTCCTCTTTCTCTGCATCCTTGCCAGCATCTGTGAATTCCTGTCTTCTTGATAGGAAATTTTAAGTGGGATGAGGTGATACCTTGTTGTGGTTTTGATTTGCGTTTCTCTGATGATTAGTGATGTTGAGCATTTTTTCTTATAGCTGTTGGCCATTTGTATGTCTTGAGAAATGTCTATTTTGATCTTTTGCCCCGCCTCCTTTTTTTTTTTAAAGACATGAGTTCTCATTATGTTGTGCATGCTGGAATCAAACTGGACTCAAACAGTCTTCCTGGGGCTGGGCTTAGTGACTGAGGCTTGTAATCCCAGCACTTTGGGAGGCTGAGTAGGTGGACCATCTGAGGTCAGGAGTTCAAGGCCAGCCTGGACAACATAGTGAAACCCTATCTCTACTAAAAATACAAAAAATTAGCCGGGCATGATGGTGAGCACTGTAATCCCAGCTACTTGGGAGGCTGAGGCAGGAGAATCACTTGGATCCCGGAGGTGGAGGTTGCAGTGAGCTGAGATTGCACCACTGCACTCCAACCTGGGTGATAGAGTGAGATTTCATTCCCCCACCCCCGCCCCCCCAAAAAAAAAACACCGCCTGCTTCAGCCTCCTGAGTAGCTGGGACTACAGGCAAGCACCACCACATATGGCTTTGCCCATTTTAAGATAGGATTATTTGTGGGTTTTTTTTTGCTATTGAGTTGTTTGAGCTCCTTGTTTTATTTATTCTGGTTATTAATCCCTTATCAGATGGATAGTTTGCAAATATTTTCTTCCATTCTGTGGGTTGTCTCTTCACTTTGTTGATTGTTTCCTTTGCTGTGCAGAGCTTTTTAGTTTGATATAATCCTATTAGTCTATTTTTGCTTTTGTTGCCTGTACTTTTGAAGTCGTATACAAAAAAATTTTTGCCCAGATCAATGTCTTGGAACATTTCCCCAGTGTTTTCTTCTGGTAGCTTCGTAGTTTGAGGTCTTAATTTAAGACTTTAATCCATTTTGATGTGATTTTTGTATATGGTGAGAGAGAGAGTTGAGTTTCATTCTTCAGTTTAGGGCTATCCAGTTCTTCAAGAATCATTTATTGAAGAGATTGTCCTTTCCTCATTGTATGTTCTTGGCACCTTTGTACTTTCGGTACTGACTAGAATGAGTTGGTTGTAAATGCATGTATTTATATGTGAGTTTTCTATTCTGTTCCATTGGTCTATGTGTCTATTTTTATGTCAGTACCATACTGATTGGGTTACTATAGTTTTGTAGTAGATTTTTAGGTTGGGTAGCATCATGCCTTCAGCTTTGTGCTTTTTGCTCAGGATTGCTTTGGCTCTTTGGGGTCTCTTGTGGTTCCATATAGATTTTAGGATTTTTTTTCTATTTCTATTTCTTTGGAGCAGCAGTCCCTAACCTTTTTGGCACCTGGGACCGCTTTTGTGGAAGACAATTTTTCCATGGACTTGGGGGGATTTTTTTTTTTTAATGGTATGAACCATATTTATTGAAAATATTATTTCTCGCCTTTCTCAAATTGAAGACTGCAAAAAATAAGAGCAGTGCTTTACTGAGTTGTCATTAACCTTGAGAGCAGTGGCTGTGCCTCTTCACGCTCTGGGGACGGTGGAAACCGTGGCTGGTGTGTGCCACATCTATCCCACTTCGCTTTACAAAACAGTTCTGATGTCACTATCGTGGCCGGGCGCGGTGATTCACGCCTGCAATCCCAGCACTTTGGGAGGCCGAGGCGGGCAGATCACGAGGTCAAGAAGATCAAGACCATCCTGGCTAACACGGTGAAACCCCGTTTCCACTAAAAATACAAAAACAAAATTAGCCGGGCGTGGTGGCGGGCACCTGTAGTCCCATCTCCTCTGGAGGCTGAGGCAAGAGAATGGCGCGAAGCCGGGAGGCGGAGCTTGCAGTGAGCCGAGATAGGGCCACTGCACTCCAGGCTGGGCAACAGAGCTAGACTCTGTCTCAAACAAAAACAAAAACAAAACAAAACAACAAACTATGGTACATGACATTTACATTAGAAAAAGAGAGCTGAATGTAGGGATGGAGGATGGTTTGGGGATGAAACTGTTCCACCTCAGATCATCAGGCATCAGATTCTTGTAAGGTGCTCAGCGCCCTAGAACCCTTGCATGGGCAGTTCACAACAGGGTTCCAGCCTCTGTAAGAATCTGGCACCACCACTGATCTGATAGGAAGTGAGCTCAGGCGGTTATGCTCACTTGGCCACCGCTCACCTCCTGCTGTGCATCCTGGTTCCTAACAGGCTACAGATGGGTACTGTTCCATAGCCCGGGGGTTGGGGATCCTTGCTGTAGAGAATGCCATTTGTATTTTGATAGGGATTGGATTGATCTGTAAATTGCTTTAGGTAGTGTTGTCTTTTTTTTTTTTTTTTGAGACGAACTCTCCCTCTGTTGCCCAGGCTGGAGGCTGGAGGGCAGCGGCGCGATCTCGGCTCACTGCAAGCTCCGCCTCCCAGCTTCACGCCATTCTCCTGCCTCAGCCTCCCGAGTAGCTGGGACTACAGGCGCCCGCCACCATGCCTGGCTAATTTTTTTTGTATTTTTAGTAGAGACGGGGTTTCACCGTGTTAGTCAGGATGGTCTCGATCTCCTGACCTTGTGATCTTCCCGCCTAATTATTCTAATCCATAAGCATGGAATATGTTTCCTTTTTGTGTGTGTGTCCTCTTTAATTGCTTTCATCAGTTTTTTAGTTTTCCTTTTATAGATCTTTCACTTCTTTGGTTAAATTGATTCCTACGTAGTTTATATTCTTTGGTAGCTATTGTAAATGAGATTGCTTTCTTGATTTCTTTTTCAGATTGTTTGCTGTTGGTGCATATAAATGCTACTGATTTTTGCATGTTGATTTGGTATCCTGCAACTTTTACTGAATTCGTTTATTATTTCTAACAGTCTTTCATGGAGTCTTTTGATTTTTCAATACGGATGAGTTTTTATATCTTACTTTTGTATCCTTTTCTGGGAATTATTACCTGCTCATGTTTGGCAAACTTCTACTCTTCTTCAAGATTCAGTCTTGAGTGCCACTCCTGGGCGGTGTTGTATTATCCAAAGATTAGGAAAAAATGCATGCTTACGTGCCAGCAAAGCAGAGCCATCAGTGTTTATGAGGGAAGAAACAAAAAAGAAGGCTTGCAGGCTGTGGGAGAAGCCAGAACTTTGTAGTTTTGTTTGGTTTTTGAGACAGGGCTTGCTCTGTCACCCAGACTGGAGAGGAGTGGCAAGGTAATAGCTCACTGAAGCCTCCATCTCCTGGACTCAAGTGATCCCCCAACTTCAGCCTCTGGAGTAGCTGGGAGTATAGGCATACCCACCATGTCCAGCTAACTTTTTTTTTTTTCAGGTTTCATTCACTTTATTTTTCTTGTATAAAAACCCTATGTTGTAGCCACAGCTGGAGCCTGGGTCCACTGCACGGAGACTCTGGTGTGGGTCTTGACAAGGTGGTCAGTGATTTCCTGATAGGGAGACTTGGTAAATACAGTCTCCTTCCAGAGGTCAGGGGTCAGGTAGCTGTAGGTCTTAGAGATGGCATCAAATGTGGCCTTGGCGAAGTTGCCCAGGGTGGCAGTGCAGCCCTGGGCTGAGGTGTAGCAGTCATCGATACCAGCCATCATGAGCAGCTTCTTGGGCACAGGCGCTGAGAGGATGCCAGTGCCCCTGGGTGCAGGGATGAGGCACACCAGCACAGAGCTGCAGTGGCCTGTCACCTTGCAAGGGACAGTGTGGGGCTTGCCCATCTTGTTCCCCCCCCCCAGCCTCTGCGCACGGGGACAATGGAGAGTTTGGCCAGGATGATGACCCCACGGATGGTGGTGGCCACCTCCTTGGAGCACTTAACACCCAGGCCGACGTGGCCATTGTAGTCGCCAATAGCAACAAACGCCTTGAACCTGGTGTGCTGGCCAGCACGGGTCTGCTTCTGTACCGGCATAATCTTCAAAACCTCGTCCTTGAGAGAGGCACCCAAGAAAAAGTCAATGATCTCTGATTCCTTAATGGGCAGGGAGAAGAGGTAGATCTCCTCCAGGGACTTGATCTTCATGTCCTTGATCAAGCGGCCCAGCTTGGTGACCGGCATCCACTCGTTATCCTCGGCCTTGCCTCCGCAAGCTCCGCAGCCTCGGCCCTGGCCCCCTCCACGGCCGCGACCCCGGCCCCGGATGCCACTGCTGAAACCTCTACGGAAGCCACCGCCGTTCCCCATCCCAGGGCCTCCAGGTCCCCCTGCTGCACCGGCGTCATCCACCATTTGGTGTTTTCTCGGAGAAGAAGCACTTTTTTTTCTCTTTCAAAATTTGTAGTAGAGATGAGGTCTCCCTATGTTGCCCAGGTTGGCCTTGAACTCCTGTTCTCAAGTGAACCTCCCGCCTTAGCCTCCCAAAGTGCTGGGATTACAGGCATCAGCCACTGTGCCTGGCCTGTAGTTCTTCTTTAATCTTATGTTTTAATTAATTTTGAATTATTTAGATGTCCTTGATGAGTCTTTCCTTCCCCTCAGTCGTCAGGATCTCTCTATTGTTTCCATTTCCTTACACACTTGTTTCCTACCACTTGGCCTGAACCCTTCAAAAAAGTCAGTATTACAAAAACTAAAACCAAATAGGTAGGAGGGCTTTTGTAGATTAAAATAAACTAGAGACAGAACCAAATGCAAGTGTGAAACTTGATTGGATCCGAATCAAAACAAGCCCCAAACATAAAATCAATTTGGGGGGACAAATGGAGAACTTTAAATATGGATGTATATTAGATAATATTGAATAATTAATGTTAATTTTCGTAGCTGTATTAATAGTATGATGGTTATGTCGGAGGATGTCCTAATCTTAGGAGATGCATGCAGATGTATTCCTGTTGTCTGCACTTTATTTTATTTTATTTTTGAGACGGAGTCTCTCTCTGTCTCCCAGGCTGGAGTGAAGTGGCCTGATCTCGGCTCACTGCAACTTCCGCCTCCTGGGTTCAGGCGATTCTCCTGCCTCAGCCTCCCTAGTAGCTGGGACTACAGGCACGTGCCACCCCGCCCGGCTAATCTTTTGTATTTTTAGTAGAGACGGGGTTTCACCGTGTTAGCCAGGATGGTCTCAATCTCCCAAAAACGCTGGGATTATAGGCGTGAGCCACCGCGCCCTGCCTGCACTTTACTTTCAAATGATCCAGTGAGAATGGAAGGGTTAGGGCACTTTGAGAGAAAGGGAACACAAGCAAATTTGGCAACATGCTGAGACTTATGAATCAAGGTAATAGCCATTATTCTTTTAACTTTTTTTTTTTTTAAATTTGAGACGGAGTTTCGCTCTTGTCCAGGCTGGAGTGCAATGGCACGATCTTGACTCACTGCAACCTCCGCCTCCCAGGTTCAGACAATTCTCCACCATGCCCGGCTAATTTTTGTATTTTTAGTAGAGACGGAGTTTCATCATGTTGCCCAGGCTGGTCTTGAACGCCTGACCTCAAGTGATCCGCCCGCCCCAGCCTCCCAAAGTGCTGGGATTATAGGCATTAGCCGCCCCGACTTTTAACTTTTAACTTTTTGATAGGTTAAAAACTTACAAAAAACGTGGATAGAGGGGGTCTGTCTTGCCCACTACACCGATATGGTTAGGTTAGGTTAGGTTAGGTTAGAACCCGACATTCTGCTCTGTACTTCTTAGCCATTCACTCGCTTCAAGTACTCTGAAATGTAATTTAAAAAATTGTAATTGGAATTCTTTTGGTCACTTCCTCTTTCTCTCTTCACTCCTCCCCTTTCCTCCTGATTCTTTCTTGAGGCGCAACCACCTGAGAGAGGCTTCTGTCCCTCGGCGGTCTCCGTAAGTAAGTGAACCGTTACTGGCTGCAGGGCGCTGACGTCTGATTGTTGCGCGGTCACATTTTTCCGAGGAGCGCAGATTCGCATTCCCAATTTTAGGTGGCGGTCACAACTCATACTATTTGGACAGATGGCACAGAAACCGCTGCGCCTGTGAGTGACCGTGAATGGAAGCCTCTCTCTTTCTGTCTCTTTCGTGTGTGTAGGTGTCGACACGGGCGGGAGTCTTTCCCGTGACAGGAAGGGAGAAGGAAAAGGCGCAGAGACACGGGGCTACTGGGGAGCTTAGGTGATGTCTTTTCCTGGCCGGGGCTGGCCTCTTTTCCTGGCTTTTTTCGCTTCTGAAGGGGTTTTTCTTGGCGACGCTCGTTGGGAGAGGCGGAACCTCCCAGAGTTAGGCTTCCTCCATCTTAGGGGGCAGTCTTGGCCTCTGACACATCCTTTCCCCTTCGTTTCTCCTGTCCCCATATATTTAGTCACCAAATACTCTTAGCCGTTGGGCCCACTGATGGGCCCTGGGCAGTGGTGGACAGAGTAGATAGGGACGCTTCCCTGGCGCACTTCTTTTTGCGGGGAGGAGGGGCGCGGGTGGTGGCTTCATTCAGCAAGTATTTATTGAAGAATTGCAGGTGTGCTGGACGCTGTGGTAGGTGTTGCAACAGATCGAGTTTCTGCTTTAACGAAGCCTATAGTCTAGAGGGACAGGCGCTAAAGAATCCAGATAATGGGCCGGACGCGGTGGCTGAGGCAGGAGAATCGCTTGAACCCGGGAGGCGGAGGTTGTAGTGAGCCGAGGTCGCGCCACTGCACTCCAACCTGGGCGACAGAAGATACTCCATCTCAAAACAAACAAAAACCAAACCAACCAAACAAAAAAACAAAACAAATAATGGCCGGACGCGGTGGCTTACGCCTGTAATCCTAGCACTTTGGGAGGCTGAGGTGGCCGGATCACTTGAGGTCAGGAGTTCGAGACCAGCCTGGCCAACGTGGTGAACCCTGTCTGTTCTAATACACACAAAAAATTAGCCAGGCGTGGTGGCGCGTGCCTGTAATCCCAGCTGCTCAGGAGGCTGAGGCAGGAGAATCGCTTGAACCCAGAGGCTGAGGTTGCACAGTGAGCCGACATTGCACCGCTGCACTCCAGCCTGGGTAACAGAGCGAGACTCAGTCTAAAAAAAAAAAAAAGGGGGAATGCAGATAAATGTGAAGTTACCATAGTGATAGGGCCAGGTGCAGTGGCTCACGCCTGTAATCCCAGCGACTCGGGAGGCCGAGGCAGGAGGATCGCTTGAGTCGAGGAATTCAAGACCAGCCTGGGCAGTATAGCAAGGCCCAGTCTCTACAAAAAAATACAGAAAAAAAAAATTAGCTGGGCGTAGTGGTCCGAGCTAATTGGGAGGCTGAAGCGGGAGGACCACCTGAGCCTGGGGAGGTCGAGACTGCAATGAGCTGTGATCATGCTGCTGCTCTCCAGGCTGGGTGACAGTTTGAAACCTTGTCTCAAAAAAAAAAAAAGCAATAGTGGTAAATTTTGGGAAGAAAAGATTCATGGTTGTGGGAGAGTGCATAAGAGGCGTGTTTGGCTTAATGGTAGGAGTCAAGAAGGCTTCCCGAGAAAGTTAGGATTGAGCCTTGGGAAACAGTAATCCATTGCTTAACAGCAGGGTTGTGTTCTGAGAAATGAGTTGTTAGGCGATTTCGTCATTGTGCGAACATCTTTGGTGTACTTACGGAGACCTGGATGGTATGGCTTCCTATACACCTAGGCTAAATGGTATATAGCCTGTTGCTCCTAGGCTACAAAGCTGTACATCATGTTACTGTACTGAATACTGTAGGCAATTGTAACACAACGGTAAGTATTTTTGTATTTAAATATAGAAAGGGTATAGTGAAAATACCTGTCCGGGTGTGTTGGCTTTCGCCTGTAATCCCAATGCTTTGGGAGGCCGAGGTGGGTGGATCACCTGAGGTCACAAGTTTAAGACCAGCCTGGCCAGCATGGTGAAACCCTGTATCTACTAAACATACAAAAATTAGCCGGGCATGGTGGCGGGTGCCTGTAATCTCAGCTACTCAAGAGGTTGAGCCAGGAGAATGGCTTGAGCCTGGGAGGTGGAGGTTGCAGTGAGCCGAGATCGCGCCACTGCACTCCAGCCTGGGCCACAGAGTGAGACTCTGTCTCAAAAGAAAAAAAGAAAATACTGTATACAGGAAAAAAAAAAGGGTATACTCCTGTAGGACACTTATCATGAATGGAATTTGCAGAACTGAACGTTTCTCTGAGTTAGTAAGAGGTGAGTGAATGTATTACTTTACACTATTGTAGACTTTATGAATACTGTACACTTCACCTATATTAAATTTATAAAAACATTATTTGTTTTCAACAATAAACTTCAGTTTACTGTAACTTTTACTTTATAAACTTTAAGTTTTTTAAAACTTTTTGACGTGTTATAACACAGCTAAGATGCAAAACACATTGTACAGCTTTGTGTATATATAATATTTTCTTTATATCCTTATTCTACAAGCTTCTTTCTATTATTATTTTTTCTTTTTACCCTTTAAACTTTTTTTTTTTTTTTTTGGAGACAGAGTCTCACTGTTGCCCAGCCTGGAGTGCAATTGTGCAGTCATGGCTCACTGCAACCTCAACCTCCTGGGCTCAAGTGATTCTCCCACCTCAGCCTCCTGAGTAGCTGGGACTACAGGCACAAGCCACTACACCTAGCTAATTTCTGTATTTTTTGTAGAGAGGGGGTTTTGCTATGTTACCCAGGCTGGTCTTGAACTCCTGGGCTCAAGTTATCCTGCCTCAGCCTCCCAAAGTGCTGGGATTACAGACATGCGCCACTGTGCCTGGCTTTAAACTTTTTTTGTTGCAAACTAAGACACACACACACACACACATGAGTCTAGGCCTACACAGGGTCAGGATCATCAGTATCACTGCTGTTCACCTCCATATCTTGTCCCACTGGAAAGGCTTCAGTAGTAATAACATGCATGAAGCTGTCATCTCCTATGATAACAGTGCCCTGTGGAATGCTTCCTGAAGGACCTGCCTGAGGCTTTTTTACAGTTAACTTTTTTTTTTTTTTTAAAAATACGTAGGAGTATACTCTGCAAAATAACAGTAAAGAGCATACCATACTAAATTTTTTTTTTTTTTTTTTTTGAGACGTAGTCTCACTCTGTTGCCCAGACTGGAGTGCAGTGGCGCAATCTCGGCTCACTGCAAGTTCTGCCTCCCGGGTTCACGCCATTCTCCCGCCTCCCTCCTGAGTAGCTGGGACTACAGGCGCCAGCCACCACACCCGGCTAATTTTTTGTATTTTTAGTAGAGACAGAGTTTCACCGTGTTAACCAGGATGGTCTCGATCTCCTGACCTCGTGATCCGCCCACCTCGGCCTCCCAAAGTGCTGGGGTTACAGGCATAAGCCACCTTACCTGGCAATAGCTTACTAAATATTATATATATACGAGTAACATAGTTTATTATCATTATCAAATATTGTATACTGTACTAACTGTATGTGCTACACTTTTTATAACCACCAGCCCAGTAGGTGTTTATACCAGCATTACCACAAACAAATGAGTAATATATTGCACTGTGATGTTACAAATGGCTAGACATCACTAGGTGATAGGAATTTTTAAGTTCCATTATAATCTTATGGGACCACCATCATATATGTGGTCCCTTGTTGACCGAAACATTGTTATGTGCACATAACTGTATTTTTGTCTTTAACCTAAAAGGGTTATTGAAATGCTTAAGAATGACTTGGCATGATCAGATTTTCATTTTGGAAAGCAGTTCTGTCTGCAATGTGGAGAACAAATCAGAGCCAAAGTAGAGAACAGTTGGGATTAGGTGGAGTGATGACAGAGGAAAAGTTTAGGGATTAAAGTTTATTAAGGAAGTAAAATCAACAAGGCTTGTGATGGTTTAATTGTGAGTGAAAAGGAGTTGGCCCTGTTGGGTCATAGATTTCTATTTTTATTCAGCGGGATAGAGAACACTGGAAAAGGGCCCAGATGAGGAGATGAGGCACCTCATGATGTATAAACTGGACAGTGGATCGCCCAGAAACAATGATAATTCCATGTGACAACTGCTGTGATGGAAGAAATGCAGGATCCTATGGGAACACTAGAAATTGGTAACTAATAGGTACTAGAAGGCTTCCTAGAGGAGGTGGTGCTCAAAATATAAATAAAAGTCCTATTCGTTTATGACAGAGCTTGCTCTGAAATGCTGTAATATGGTTTTCTGAGGTTTTGAGAAGGGGATGACTTCTGAGCCAGCCAGGAAGGCTTCAGAAATGTGCTAAACCTTGAAGGATGGGAAAAGCTTAGATTCAGGATGGGTAGGGTGGAACTACCCTAGGGAATGACAGAGGCAGAGAGTAATCAAATTGCTAGTAAGTAAGGTTTGAGTTAAGAAAACTTGCAGAAAGCACTAGAAAGACGACAGGTCAAGGCCTGTGGAAAGCTGTGGTTCTGTAGGCAGTGGGGAACCTCTTGAATGTTTTGAGGAAAGGACATTAAGCTGACAACTTTATGTAGGATGGATAGGAAGAAAAGAAGGCATTAGAGGAAACATAAGTGTATTCTCTACTTTGAGTCTAACACTAGATTCATTGTATTTTTCTCTGATTCTTCCTCTGCCATAAGAAGGGGGTAGGGTGGGGTGGAGTGGAGTGGAGGTTGCAGTGAGCCAAGGTCGTGCCACTGCACTTTTAGCCTGGGTGACAGAGTGAGACCCTGTCTCAAAAAAAAAAAAGAAAAAAAAAGTTTGGCAAGGTGGACAATAAAAGCATGCCAGAAAGACACACTCACAAAACAATTAAATTTTAATATTTCAAGATGAATTAAAAGACATTAAGAAAATGATATAAGTCATGGAAAAACCATATAAATCAGAATTAGAAACACTCAGAAATGAGATGATAGTAAAAGTCCCTTCACAACCTAGGGCCAGTTTACCTTACCGATGTCAGCTCTTGCCATTTTCTACTTCCTGCCCCATAACACTTCACATATACCTCCTGTTGTAGCCCTTTTCTTACAAATTTATAAAGATTAGAGTGTTTTCCTTTCCCTGGTTATAAACTCTTTGAGGCTTAAACTGAGTCTTCCTCCACCTTGTACTGCTAACATGTTCATAGTATACTTGGCATATTGTACTTAGCGTATTGTAGCTGTCCAGAGCCTGTTTATCAAATGAATGACTGAAGCCCTGTACTAAGATAGGAGGAGTCAAAATAAAAAGGATAGAATGAATGTGAGATGTCTGGAAAAAGGGATTGATGGGACTTGGTGACTGGATGGGGTATTTTTGACTCTTGTTGACCGTGTCAGCCATAGACATGTCCACAAAACTTAGGAATGAGGAGAAGAAGCTGACTCAATTGTGGAGTAAATGATAAGCTAAATTTTAGATATGGCGAGTGGGAGGTGTTGGTGAGACCCTCAGTGGATCTGCCCAGTGGTTTACATGCTCTGAACCTTGCAAGGTAACTGCAGAGAGACTAAATCATGTATCTATCTAATCCAAAAGGCTAGTATATACCAAACCTGGCAGGCCCATTTGTTTCCTGAATTGCTATAATGTTTATCTCTTTGCAGCTTGGCTTGTGGAGATGTTGAAGGAAAGTTTGATATTTTGTTCAATAGAGTTCGAGCAATTCAGAAGAAAAGTGGAAACTTTGATGTAAGATGTTTGTTTTTACTGAATTTAATTTTACCTTTGTAGTCACATGTAAAAATAAAGTTTGCACTCCTTTAGGTCTTGATTGAACACATACCATTTTTGTTAAATTGAGTTCCCTTCATGAGCATAGGAACTTAGTAGCTACTGAGTGGTTAGGGGAGGGAGACCTATTTACTATACTATTGATCTTTATATTTTTTGACTTTGAATCTTGTTACTTTATCCCTGTACAAAAAACTGAAAACAGACTAGCAACACTTCCCTAAGTGATTCTGACCCCTGGGTTTGGGAAGCACAGATCTATTTCATGAATGTGGTGAGGATTAAGTCAGGTAACATATATACCAATGCATCGCAGGCTTAAAAGCTCTATATGAATGTTGTGTATGGTTGCCAACTAGACTGTAAACTCTTAAGAGTACAGAAGAGAGTATTCCAGGTATGAGGATAATTTGTTCATTGGGTTAAAGGTTGAGTAAAGACAACAGTCGGGAAATGTGTTTTTTATGCCCTGTATTTCTCAGAGTTTCTAATATTTTAAGTTTTTTGTTTGTTTGTTTCACATGGGGATCTTTAGAGATCTATTTCTGTATTACTGTATATTCCAGGGAAGGATATGTGGAGAGAGCCATGAGTGGCAGAGTGGGACTGGGAATTTGAGGAGTCCTTGAATTCTAACTTCTTTTAAAAGTTTAGTTCCTTGACTCTAACATGAATTTGACAGCCAAAAGCCAAAACTTAATAATTCATAGAATCAGTAACTTAACAGTTGCTGCTAAAGAATTGTATATTGAAATCTGCAAATTGATTAAGAATAAACTGATTTGAAACTATTGAATAACTAGTTAAATATTACTATCAATTATGTACTGTTTGATATTTTAAAATCTCATATATCTGTTTAAAAAACTCATTTTAGCTGCTGTTGTGTGTAGGAAATTTCTTTGGCTCCACCCCGGATGCTGAATGGGAGGAGTATAAGACTGGCATCAAGAAAGGTATAGAAATTATTTTTATTTAACATACGATTTCTAATAAAATTTCAAGGGCCACAGTTCTTGCTGAGTTGTTTTTCATTATTTAAGAATTTAAGAATAATTTTCAGTATTTAAGAATTTAAGTTGTTTTTCATTATTGAGACTATCCCGGTGCGGTGGCTCATGCCTGTAATCCCTGCACTTTGGGTGGCTGAGGCGGGCGGATCACCTGAGGTCAGGAGTTCGAGACCAGCCTGGCCAACATGGTGAAACCCTGTGTCTACTAAAAATACAAAAATTAGCAGGGCATGGTGGCGCATGTCTGTAATCCCAGCTTCTCGGGAGACTGAGGCAGGAGAATCGCTTGAACCAGGAGGCGGAGATTGCAGTGAGCCGTGATCGCGCCACTGCACTTCAGCCTGGGTGACAGAGCAAGGCTCTGTCTCAGAAAACAAAACAAAACAGAAAATAGTCAAGCTACAAGGTTGGGTGTAGTATATCCTTAGTGGATAGCAGTTCCACATTTAGGATTGCTAAATATGGGGAATGTGAATGCATGGACTGTTTACTTTTGCTGTAAATATTTTTTCTATAGAGAGGCATATCTCAAGTTCTAAAGCAGATCTGGTAACTATATGGTGTCATGTCTGTTTCCCTCACTAGCTCCTATTCAGACATATGTGCTTGGTGCTAATAACCAGGAAACAGTAAAATATTTCCAGGATGCTGATGGATGTGAATTAGCTGAAAACATTACTTATCTGGGTAAGCTGATACTTGTTATATTTGTGTGTGTGTGTGTTTTTTTTTTTTTTGAGACGGAGTCTTGCTCTGTCACCCAGGCTGGAGTGCAGTGGCGCGATCTTGGCTCACTGTAACCTCTGCCTCCCAGGTTCAAGTGATTCTCCTGCCTCAGCCTCCTGAGTAGCTTGGATTACAGGCGTGTGCCACCATACCTGGCTGATTTTTTATAGTTTTAGTAGAGATGGGGTTTCACCATGTTAGCCAGGATCATCTTGATCTCCTGACCTCGTGATCCGCCTGCCTCGGCCTCCCAAAGTGCTGGGATTAGAGGCGTGAGCCACCGTGCCTGGCCGATATTTGTTGTATTTGTAATGAACATAATACAGTGTTCTCAGAAATTAGTGTCCCAGGAAATTTTTGGCTAGATTTTTCAGTGATTACAGCCTGAGATAATGGAGTTTGGAGGGTTTTTTCCCAAAGTCTGTATATGTGCTGCTATACCTTTAGGACAATGCCCTTAGAACAGTGGCATTTTTCCTTTATTATTTCTGCCACTTAGCCCCAATCTCGTTATGTTGCCACAACCCAGTACACACTTGTTTAGCCAACTAGAGGGATAAACTCCTTGTCTACAGTATATGGGATACTTAAGGTATAAATTATGTTCACACAAAGGAAATTTCATGTATGTGGCCTTACCATACAATCTTGCTGGATATATGCAGCTTACTTGTTAATTAGGCTCCCAACTATTTATCGCTCTAGGTTTCACTCTAAGGTTTTGGCAACTCACATTTTTAGTACTGTTCTTTGGGGATTTTAAACTTTTTTTTACTCTCCTTTTTCTGGTTCCAGGTACACTCTTCAGTTCCAGCTTAAAGTTGTTTCCTCCACAGTCCTCTGTATTGCTTTTAGTGGCTCTTTCAATGTCTGGCCATTTTCAAAAGCACTGTCAAATTTTGCTTTTGTTTTCCCCCCACCTGCTGACAGTCTGCTGCCTCTTAGATCATTCAACTCCTTATTTTCTTTTTTTTTTTTTTGAGATAGTGTCTCGCTCTGTTGCTCAGGCTGGAGTGCAGTGGCGTGATCTCAGCTCACTGCAACCTCCGACTCCCTGATTCAAGTGATTCTCCTGCCTCAGCCTCCTGAGTAGCTGGGATTATAGGCACGTGCTACCACACCCAGCTAATTTTTGTGTTTTTAGTAGAGACGGGATTTCAGCATGTTGGCCAGGATGGTCTCGATCTCCTGACCTTGTGATCCGCCCGCTTCAGCCTCCCAAAGTGTTGGGATTACAGGCATGAGCCACTGTGCCTGGCTTTTTTTTTTTTAATTGACTCTACTGTTCTTCACATTTCCTCTTTGTTGGTCTTATTTCTCTAGAAAGCTTCTTCATTTCCTTTGCTGTAAATGTCTTCTCTCTCCTTCCCCATCATAGTTCGTCTTGGCCTTTAGTCTCTGTTTGGCTGTGGCCCTCCTGTTACCAGTCTTATTTTGTTCTAATCCTGTGAGACTTCTTTAAGCAAAAATTGAAGGAAGGACTTTATTTGTTTTGTTGTTTTAATATGGAACTCCTCATGAATTTGCATGTCATCCTTGTGCAGGTGTCGTGCGAATATTATCTTTATCTTTCCAGTTTTAGTATATATGCTGCTGAAGTGAGCACTGTTTCTTTTTAACTACACATGTCAGATACACATTTTGAAATTCTGTTGTATATTTTAACATGGGTCTGACTTACGCAGTTCTCGGTATAGTCTGTAGATTTGGATGAAGGGCATTACTATAGATATTTGGCAGCCATTTTACTATATGAATTTAGTGTCAGGAGTGTAAAGAGCAGCTGAGGTACTTGGGTTACTTCTGTGAAATAGGTTTTTTGGATCCAGTAGGAGGATCAAGCAAAGAGCTTGGTAGTGAACATGTGATAGTGAGCTTGAAGTACTGGTAAGACATCCAACATATAGTTGGAAGTGAGAATTATTATTATTTTTTTTTTGAGATGGAGTTTTGCTCTTGTTGCCCAGGTTGGATTGCAATGGCGTAGTCTCGGCTCACTGCAACCTCTGCCTCCTGGATTCAAGCGATTCTTCTGCCTCAGCCTCCTCAGTAGCTGGGGTCACAGGTGTGTGCCACCATGGCCGGCTAATTCTGTGTTTTTTAGTAGAGACAGGGTTTCACCATGTTGGTCAGGCTGGCCTCGAAATCAAGGAAGAAATACAGTCATAAGGGAAGCACGTAGATGATAGTACCTTGGTGGGTGGGGATGGTATATCTTCATCTTGGGGGTAGGAAAAAAGACATAAAAGTGCTTAGAGGACTGTTTGAGAGGTGAAGATATTGTCAACTTCAAGGAATCTAAGTGAAGATAACATAGTTTCAGGAGAACATTGGCAGATATAGGGTGACCTTTAAGAGAGTGATGGGAGAGGGAAACTGATTGCAGGGGCTTAAGGAACTAATATAGTAGGCTGAGCGCAGTGGCTCACGCCTGTAATCCTAGCACTTGGGGGGCTGAGGCGGGCAGATCACGAGGTCAAGAGATTGAGACCATCCTGGCCAACATGATGAAACCCCATCTCTACTAAAAATGCAAAAATTAACTGGGCATGGTGGCGGGCACCTGGAGTCCCAGCTACTCGGGAGGCTGAGGCAAGAGAATCACTTGAACCCGGGAGGCGGAGGTGGAGGTTGCAGTGAGCCAAGATCACACCACTGCACTCCAACCTGGCGACAGAGCAAGACTCCATCTGAAAAACAGAAACCAAAAAAAAAAAACAAAAAGCAGGTAAAGCACTTAGCATGGACTGCTCTTCAGAAGTTCAAAACTGAAGACGAGGAAGTTTCTTAGTATGTGTGTTCATTTTGGATGGGGATGATTGAGCATGTTTTTTTCTGAACAGAAAGTGCCAGCTGTGTAGACTCAGTAGATGAAAGGGAGGTGAAAACTGATGGAGCAAGGTCTTGAAGGCAACAGGAGGGAATAGAAACAAGGCCACAAGCCAGGAACAACCCTAGAAGAGAGTAGAGTCTTTGATTTTTCCTAAACACTTGCTCTTTCCAAATGTTTTCCTTCACTTGGAAGTTGCTGCCTGCTCCCAAGCTGGGACTATGGGCACACGCTGCCATGCCTGGCTAATTTTTTGTATTTTAGTAGAGACGAGATTTCATCGTGTGCATCTTTTCTAGACTGTAGCTTCCTTAGAACTGTATTTTTCTTCTCATTGCCTTTTCCTGTGTCCTGATGTCTGCATTTAAGTCCATGTAGAGTCTTCTCTAGAAGGCAGAAAGCCTTTTTTCTAATCTTCTCTTCCTAGCTTTTTCTAGTAATATTTGTAAGGCACCTGGTGTAAACATACTGGCCTGTGGGCTCAGCAGCCTCCATGTAGGGCTGTTTGTATTTACTGAGCAGGAATATTGTTATAGCCATTCACCATTGATGCCTAGCGGCCAGAAGGGAGTTGCTGGAGAGTTTACACTTCAGATATGTAAAATGGCAGGGACATAGGAGAATCATGGGAGATTCATCCCCCTGTTGATGGCTTTTCATTCTGCAATTTTGACTAAAATTTGTTCGTTTTTCTTTGAACCCAGGTCGTAAAGGTATCTTCACTGGAAGCTCGGGGCTGCAGATTGTGTACCTCAGTGGCACAGAGTCCTTAAATGAGCCAGTACCAGGTTATAATTTTAGTCCCAAGGATGTGTCTTCTCTGAGAACGATGCTGTGTACAACCTCCCAGTTTAAGGGTGTTGATATCTTGCTCACATCCCCGTGGCCCAAGTATGTGGGGAACTTTGGGAATTCTTCTGTGAGTAGTACTTGTTCAGTTGGAATTTCTAAAAGCAAATTGCACTGGCTTGAGTTGGGCCTTTTTTCTTTTCCTGTTTATATTGAGTATTTTAGCTCTTGGGTACTTTTATTAGAAGTCTTTTGTGAAAATTTTCAGGATTCTAAAAGCTATATCAACTGACCAAAGCAAAAGTTAATTTCATGAAAGTGTGCCGCATAGATGAGACTGCTGAAATCTTAGTTATAAAGGAATTTTTAAAATACTCTCTGCTTCAAGTGCCCTTTCCTAAGCCTCTTAATGTTTTGAGGCTTCACTGATAATTTTTTTTTTTTTTTTTTGAGATGAGTCTCACTCTGTCACCCGGGCTGCAGAGCAGTGGTGCAATCTTGGCTCACTGCAACCTCCTCCTCCTGGGTTCAAACGATTCTCCTGCCTCAGCCTCCTGAGTAGCTGAGATGATAGGCATGCGCCACTGTGCCTGGCTAATTTTTTTTTTTTTTTGAGATGGAGTTTTACTCTGTCACCCAGGCTGGAGTGCAGTGGCGCCATCTCTGCCCACCACAACCTCTGCCTCCTGGGTTCAAGCAATTCTCCTGCCTCAGCCTCCGAAGTAGCTGGGACTACAGGTGCATGCTGCCGTGCCTGGCTAATTTTTTGTATTTTAGTAGAGATGGGGTTTCTCTGTGTTGCCCAGGCTAGTTGTGAACTCCTGAGCTCAGACCATCTGCCTGCCTTGGCCTCCCAAAGTGCTGGGATTACAGGCAGAATTTTTTGTATTTTTAGTAGAGATGGGCTTTCACCATGTTGGCCAGGCTGGTCTCAAACTCCTGACCTCAAGTAATTTGCCCACTTCAGCCTCCCAAAATGCTGGGATTACAGGCATGAGCCACCGCGCCCAGCCTAATTTTTGCATTTTTAGTAGAGAGGGGGTTGCCCAGGCTGATCTTGAACTCCTGGGCTCTAGTGATCCACCTGCCTTGGCCTCCCAAAGTGCTGGGATTACAAGTGTGAGCCACCATACCTGGCCAGATTTTAATATTTTATGAGTAATCTTGAAAAGGATGGTACACCAGGAGTGACAACTATCATGGGGAGTGAAATACTACACTGGTGGTGGTAAGCCTAAGGAATATTTTGAAAAGGTTATATGTGAGGGCAGAAAACATTGGCTGAGCTTCATTGAAGGGAAATGTAAGAATGCATTTGGGTACAAATCTCCATGGATGGATTCAGGATTATCAGTGATGATCCAGAAGTGGAACCTGTACACCACCCCTTGCCAATTTCAGCACCATGTGTCCATGACCAGAAAGGCCAACAGGATACCAGGCATTATCGAAGATGCTCTCTTCTTTTTTGACAAACCCATGGTTACTCTTTACCTAGAATACAAGGGGTAGTGCTGGTTGGAGCACAAGGATATAGCAAAGCTAGGGAAGATCTAGAGAAGGGCTGCTAAAGTGATGAAGGAAGAGAGAAAGACACATGTGATGCTCTGTAAGGAAGGATGAGAAAATGAGGCCCCTTCGTTTTGCAGGGAGCTAAAAATTGATTTTGATCAAGGCTTATAAATAACCATACAGTATATTTATGGAGGAGAAAAGTATAGTTCACCAGTCCCTAAGATGCTAGGACCAACCTCAAAGCTAATTCCCTGCCCTTCAGCAGAAACCTGAAGGAAACAAGCATAAGACAAAAGAAAATTCCTGCTTTACGTAGTGGAAAACAAACTTGGTTATCTTATTTCCAAGTAATACCTTCTCTTAGAATAGAGTTCATAAATAATGCTGTGGGTGAGAGATCACTTAATTGGTTGTTAACAGAATCTGAGGTGTTCTGGGAACAAGAATAAGTTTGGGCAAACTTCATGTTACTTAAGAAGGGTGTGGTTATGCCCTTCCTGAAACTGCTACTTCCTTGACTCAAGCAAAATAAAAGATTATATGCTCGTAATGAAGTCCTTGAGTACTCTATACCGGATATTCTGTGGATCCTAGGAGCCCTGAAACCTAGCTTTTCACTTTGATTTTCTGAATTGACTATGACTCTCTGGACCTGTGAACTACAGATGCAGTACAAACAAACTAGAGGCTGGGTGTGGTGGTCTACGCCTGTAATCCCAGCACTTTGGGAGGCCCAGGTGGGCAGATCACGAGATCAGGAGTTTGAGACCAGCCTGACCAACATAGTGAAACCCCATCTCTACTAAAAATACAAAAATTAGCTGGGTGTGGTGGCACCTGCCTGTAATCCCAGCTACTAGTGAGGCTGAGGAAGGAGAATCGCTTCTTGAACCCAGGATGCAGAGGTTGCAGTGAGCCGAGATCGTGCCACTGTACTCCAGCAGCCTGGGCGACAAAGCAAGACTCCATCTCAGAAAAAAAAAAAAAAAAAAGCAACTAGAAGCTCAGTCTGTGGGCTCCAGAGGGAGAGCTTACTTTCCAAAAAAGGTTTTAATTATGTTTTGGGTATTAACATAGAGGAGTAACCTTTTAATCTCTGGCTTCCAACAGTTGTTCCTATTTCTACATTCATAATAGTTCAGCTTCCTTATTTAAGATTTTTTTCTCTGATTGCCATATGTATGAAATTCACTGTGCAATTCCTTCTGCCCGCATTTGTATTCATGTGTAAATTTCAAAGACATTTCAAAATGTCTTATTATTTATTTGCATTTCTTGATAACTTTTGGTCTGTATGGATGACTAAGTTTTTGTTTACTAGGGAGAAGTGGATACCAAAAAATGTGGTTCTGCTTTGGTTTCCAGTCTTGCCATGGGCTTGAAACCAAGATATCATTTTGCTGCTTTGGAAAAGACCTATTATGAGAGGCTTCCGTATCGGTGAGTAGCATTTCATTCTCTTTGGCTTCTTGAAGAATTTGCCATGGATCTTCTATATGAACTTCTCTTGTTCGTTTTTAACCATATATAACGTCTTGGTTCCATTTGGTTACTCAGACAGTGAAATAAGTGACTCTCAAGTCATTCATCTTCTCTGAGTTTGTTCCCTAAGTTGAAATCACTTTGGAATTCCTTTAGTTTCAGAATCAAGAACTTGTATCAGTTTTTTCCTTTTCAGGGCCAGGCATGGTGGTGTGTGCCTATAATTCCAGCTACTTGGAAGGCTGAGGCAGGAGGCTTGCTTGAGCCCAGGAGTTTTAGGCTATAGTGTGCAATGACTACGCCTGTAAATAGCCACTGCACTCTAGCCTGGGCAACATAGAGAGCCCCATTTCTTTAAAAATTTTTTTACCACAAATAAATATGAGATAATGCATATGTTAATTAGCTTGATTTAGCCATCCCACAATATATACACATTTCAAAACAGCATGTTGTATACCATAAATATATACAATTTTTAGTTGTTAATTAAAAGTAAATGAGAAGGAAAAATAACAAAAAATTTTTTTTTTGTCTTTTTTTTTTTTTTGAGACAGAGTCTTACTCTGTTGCCTGGCTGGAGTGCAGTGGCATGATCTCGGCTCACTGAAACCTCCGCCTCCTGGGTTCAAGCGATTCTCCTGCCTCAGCCTCCTGAGTAACTGGGATTACAGGTGCGTGCCACCACATCCAGCTAATTTTTTTTTGTATTTTTATTAGAGATGGAGTTTCACCATGTCATTCAGGCTGGTCTTGAACTCTTGACCTCCTGATCCGCCCACCTCAGCCTCCCAAAGTGCTGGGATTACAGGCATGAGCCACTGCGCCCAGCCAAGAAAGTATTTTTTTTTCTTTTTTTTATTTAGCACTCAGAGGTGGAGTTTTAATTTTTTTAATTTTTGTGGGTACATAGTAGGTATATAGAGGTCAAGTTAATTCTTTAAAAAAGAATATATTGCCAAGAAAACCAGTGTTTTACAAGTGAGCGAGTTAAGTAAAAGCTCAGAATTATCTTCACTGATAAAGGGCATGGATTATCTTTAAAATAACTTATTTCCCTTCTTTTTTTACAAAAGTAATATACACTTGTTGCCAGTTAAAAAAATGTAAGTGAGCAAGAAGAGAATACCCCCCTTACCATAATCCCACAGCCTAATGCAGAATCATAGGTGATACAGCTTTTTCTGTTAAATCTCCATATATGCATTCCAGAAAAATGTCTTGTTCTCTAAAAATATACTGCAAAAACAGAAGTTTTGGGAACAAGCCACTCAAAACGTACACAGTTCTTAAGAATCTGAATACAGTTTTTCATAGAACATATGAAAATGGCCAATAGGGCTGGGTGCAGTGGCTCACGCCTGTAATCCCGGCACTTTGGGAGGCCAAGACAGGCAGATCATGAGGTCAGGAGATCGAGACCGTCCTGGCTAACACAGTGAAACCCTGTCTTTACTAAAAATACAAAAAATTAGCTGGGCATGGTGGCGGGCACCTGTAGTCCCAGCTACTCGGGAGGCTGAGGCAGGAGAATGGCGTGAACCCGGGAGGCGGAGCTTGCAGTGAGCAGAGATTGCGCCACTGCACTCCAGTCTGGGCAACAGAGAGGGACTCCGTGTCAAAGAAAAAAAAAAGGCCAATACACATATAAAAAGATGCTCGTATCATTAGCCATTATGGTAATGCAAATCAAAAGCACAATGATATACCACTTAATACCCACTAGGAAGGCTGTAGTCAAAAAGGCAAATACATAATAACAAGTGTTGGCAAGGTTGTGGAGGAATTGGAACCCTCACACATTGCTGGTGAGAGTGTAAAATGGTGCAGCTGCTTTGGAAAACTGTTTAGCAGTTCTTGAGAGGTTAAACATAAGAGTCAGCAGCATAGTAATGGCAATTTTATTCCTGTCCCAAGATAAGGGAAAACATATGTCCACACAAAAACTTGTACACAAATGATCATAATAGCATTAATCATAATAGCTCAAAAGTGCAAACAACCCAAATGTCCATCACCTGATGAATGGGTGAATTAAAAGTGGTAAATATATGATGAAATGTTATTTGGCAAGGAAAAGCAATAAAGTACTGATATGTGCTACAACATGGTTGAACCTTGAAACTTCATGTGAAGTGAATGAAGCCAGACACAAAGGACTACACATTTTTTTTTTTGAGACAAGATCTCATTCTGTATCCCAGGCTAGAGTGCTGAGGTACGATCATGGCTCACTGCAGCCTCAACCTTGTGGGCTCAAGTGATTCTCCTAACTTAGCCTCCTGAGTAGCTGGGACTATAGTTATGCACCACCATACCCAGTTAATTAAAAAATTTTTTTGTAGAGACAGTCTCACTGTGTTGCCTACGGTGGTCTCAAACTCCTGCGCTCAAGCAGTCCTTTTGTCTCAGCCTCCCAAAGTGCCTGGCCTATTTTATTTTAGCTCTTTATTACACAAAAGAAGAGGCAATAGTAAAATGAACCCTCATGTGCCCATCACTTAGCTTGAACTATTGTCAACATTTTACTAATTTTACAACTCTTTTAAAGCCAGAAGTTGGAGTTTTGATGGTTTCTGAAGACATAATCTCATCTCTTCCTAAAACAGCCTTGTGAGGTAGGGATCGTTGCCCTATTAGATGGATAGATAGTAACTTATCTGAAATCATTTGACTTGTGATGAACTGAGGACCTTTGCTCTTTTTATGGCCCCATGGAGTCCACATATTTTGTCATTGCAAATCAAAAGTAAAATTGTAATATTTTGTCTCTCAAATATGTTCTAGAAACCATGTCGTTCTACAGGAAAATGCACAGCATGCCACCCGGTTTATAGCTCTGGCAAATGTTGGAAATCCAGAAAAGAAAAAGGTAAAGATTCACCTATTTGGTGGAAAGTTGATACTCACGGTCTGCCTGACAAATGTATCTCTTGCCCAGTTTAGCATTCAGATCTTCTTTCCTCCCTCACTGCAAGGTCCCAGCAGCTTCGGAGACTCCTTGTAAAGATACGGTAATGAAAGGTCAAGTCTCTTTGGGTCTTTTTGTAGGAGAGTTTAAAGAAGGGTTTGGGAAAATAGGCCCAGAGGAATAAAGGCAAAATATCAAATGAACAGTGTTCCTTTACTTTCACATCTATGTGGTTGTCTTTGTGGGTATTTGTGAATTTGCCCTCAGATGCTTGCTTACTTCTTTTAGCAACTTCATTTAGCTGAAATAAAAAAACCCCAAAGAGCTGGGCATGGTGGCCCATGCCTGTAATCCCAGCACTTTGGGAGGCTGAGGTGGGCGGATCACTTGAGGCCAGGAGTTTGAGACCAGCCTGGCCAACATGGTGAAGCCCCATCTCTATAACAAATAAAAAAATTAGCCAGGTATGGTGGGGGGCACCTGTAATCCCAGCTCCTCAGGAGGCTGAGGCAGGAGAATTGCTTGAATGTGGGAGGTGGAGACTGCAGTGAGCTGAGATCGGGCCACTGCACTCCAGCCTGGGTGACAAAGTGAGACTCTGTCTCAGGAAACAAAAAAGCAAAAAACCCAGAGGACTTACCTAAGCCTTCCTTAGGGCTAAGATTTCCTGAGGGATATCTTAGTGATACCTGGAATCTATCTTTGTACTGGAAAACAGTGCAGTTGATGAAAGAGAATATACCAGAAAAGTAGATTGTTTTTCTCACTTCTCTGAGAGCATTTCTGATTTCCCAGGGCCAAAACTGACCTATTATGGATTGAGACAGCTAAAATAAGAACAGTTAGTGAAGTGGGAAAATAGGCAGATAAAGAGTCTGAAGATTATTCCACTATCACATGCCATAGACAAAGCATACAAAAGATAAGCAAATCGATATTTTTTTTCATAATATTTTAAGCTTTTTTTGGGGGGAGGGGGCGTGGATCTGAAGTGATTTTACCTTTATTTCCTTCACTTTAGGCCAATCATGAAATTTCACAGTGATTTCTAGGGTGGGGACAGAAGGAAGACAGTGTTAAGAATCATCAGGGCTGTGGCCCAGTTGGCCCGCGGAAGTGCAGGCAGGGTGGCCCCTCAGGGGCAGCTGGAGGAGCATGGACTGCCCCGCTGGAGGGGAGGTGATGTTCCCAGAGTATGAGAGCTGGTATGTGATGTCCTCTGCAGCTTCCAGCTTGCGCAGCTCGATCAGGCTGTTCCCTGTGGTGGCCAGTAAGTTGGCGATCAGCTTGGCTGCCTTGGAATCGCCCTCAGCAGAGATGATGGCTGCCTTTTTCTGCTGCTCAGCCTTTTCTACCACAAATCTGGCGCTCTCTGCTTCCTGCTGAGCCACCTGTTTGGCTTCCACTGCTTCTGTGAACTCCTTCCCGAAGGTCAGATGTGTCAAGGACTTGTCATCCAGGATGAGCCCAAAGGTGGCTGCTCACTCCATAAGGTCATTGCTCATCTGCCTGGAGACCAGCTCTCTTTAGGTGATTAGTTCTCCAGCATCAAAGTGAGCCACCACTGACTTGAGGATCTCGGTAGTGATGGACAGCAGCACACGCTCATCATAATCCTCTTCAATGCTGGTCAAGATGTGAGGAAGCTGGCTAGTGACAGGCCCCCATGTGCACCGTGATGTCATTCTGCATATCTTTGCTGTCAGTGATGACTGGCACATTACATGGTCAAGAATGGCAGTCAAAGATAATTGGTTTCTGTACCCATGGAATGAGAAAGTGAATCCCTTCCCCTACCACAATATTCTGTATTCCACAGAATTGGTCAAAGATGACAGCTCTTTGCCCAGCATCCATGTCATATAGGGCAGAGTTCACCACGTCTCCTGCAACAGCTAAGTCCAGGCCAAACTTGCTGATGGACTCATAACACTTTGGCAGCTATGTTTTCTTCTGCTGGACCCTCTCATACCTGCTTCCATTTTGACCTCCACATAAATTTCCCAGCCTATTTTCAGCTTTTTTGCCCAATTCTTAGCAAGTTTAGATTTGTAATTTTTCTTTTAATTGCCCTTTCAAACTGAATAACACTTAGTATTTTCAGTCTGTTTTATTCTCAGGGACATGTTAGCCTCAGCCATAAGCAACTTATACTTTAGTCAAAAGGTGTGCACATTATAAAATTTGGCAAGCATTATTAAATTCATCTAAAAATTTTGTTCCAATGTGTACCCCTACCCCAGCGGTGTGTTTTGTTTTGTTTTGTTTTTCTCTCTCCATATTTCTCACTGGATCATATCAAAGTTTCTTTCTTTTTTTTTTTTTTTTTTTTTTTATGGAGTCTCTGTCTGTTGCCCAGGCTGGAATGTAGTGGCATGATCTCGGCTCACTGCAACCTCCGCCTCTCATGTTCAAGTGATTCTCCTGCCTCAGCCTCCTGAGTAGCTGGGACTATAGACACGTGCTACCACACCTGGCTAATCTTTTGTATTTTTAGTAGAGATGGGATTTCTCCATGTTGGTCAGGCTGGTCTCTATCTTCCGACCTTAGGTGATCCGCCCGCCTCTGCCTCCCAAAGTGCTGGGATTACAGGCATGAGTCACCACCCCCGGCCCTCATCAAAGTTTTATTAAAGTTTTTGCCAATGTGATAAATGATATATAATTGTTACTTAGTTGCATTTCCCTAATCAGTAGTAAGTTTAAACATCTATATCTTATCTAAAGTTTTCAATATCTGTGGCATTAGTGCAAGATTCCAGATATTTATATGAATATTTACTTCTTTGCTGCTAGTCTCTTAAGAAAATTTTATTAGCATATATAGCAGAATTTGTATAATATCAAGAGAGAGAAACCCCAAGTTCATTTGTAATTTTCTTTAGGAAAAATGAATGGCAGTGCCACAATTCTGTAGACAAAGTACACAAAGATAAGGGACTCAGAGGCAGAAGCAGTTTGTCTTCAAGTGTTATAGAGCAAGTCCCTCTGGGGGACAGTTGTCACTATTCCGTTATTCGAGTGAGAACTCCTGGTTTGTGAGGGCTGGGGCTTTGATTTGTTGTTCATTTCTTTGTCAGCCCTTGGTGAGCCCCTGCAGAGGCCACTGAATTGGCATTTGATTTACTGTTTATTCTCTGAGCTATGGATGGGCTGGTTGCTGTTCTTTTAATTTTACTTAGTTTCACATGTTTTCCCTGAAATCTTCACAGTAAAATAGGTTGATTACAGTTGGGTAAATAGTATATCCCCTAATGTCGTTATGTTCTTTTTCTCTAAAGTATCTTTATGCATTCAGTATTGTTCCCATGAAGCTAATGGATGCAGCAGAACTGGTAAAACAGCCTCCGGATGTCACTGAAAACCCTTACAGAAAATCTGGGCAGGAAGCATCCATAGGAAAGCAAATTCCTGCCCCTGCGGTATGTTCTGATTATGGGCTGGCATTTTCTGGGCAGGGTTGCCCATTACATGTGTTCTTTTCCTGGTTATAGTTTAGTACATAAGACAAGTTTAATCCTTAGAATCTAGATCTTTTTTTTTCCCCCTTGGGAAATCATGATGATGTTTAGAAAATCTTAGTAGATTTTAACTAAACTTAGTGTTTTTTATTGTAGTTTGGGGTTAACAGTTTCATAGATTAGGTCTTTCTTTGTCCAAACTGGATTCATACGTTTGGGGTTACAGTTTTATTTGTAAAGTCTTTGTCTAAAGTTGATTATCGGTTCTTAGCTCTTTAGGCAAGGCCCTAGCAGTTTCGTAGCAATGTAATTTGTGATTTTATGATGATTGCCAGTAGGAGCCAGTAGGAAAATAAGATTCACTCTGAAGAAATTTTCTTAAGAGCAGAGTTTTCTCAAATTAATTTTTTCCCCACTAAAGCAACGAAGGTCAAGTTCTCTTACTAGCATGCACGGTCTGCTTTCTCAGACTTTTCTTTCTTTCCGAGCAACCTTCTCATCTCTCAATCAAGGCTGAATTAGGCTTATTTGACCTGTGAAATTGTGTGACTACACTATGTCCCTGTTGAGAGAAAAAGGAAGAGTGAATTTGGGTGGGTTCATGTTGTTCTGTTTTAGGCAAGAATTACTTTATAACTTGCATTTTAACTTGTTTTTCCAAAGAGATGAATTTGGCAGTAGTTTGGGTAAGCATTGATGTGTGACTGAGAGTTCAGGCATCAGAATTGGGAAGATATTTTGCTTCCTTAGAGGATGCAGAAAGGACTGAGAAGAAAGAAAGATATGGCATGGCAGGAATGTTCCCTTGTATGTGAGTGGTTGGCTACTTATCTGAAGGTTGGTTGAATAATATTTAATCTTCTGCATTTGGCCATTCCAGGAAGAATCAGCCTGTCAGTTTTTCTTTGATTTAAATGAAAAGCAGGGAAGGAAGCGTTCATCCACAGGTAGAGATAGCAAATCTCCTCACCCAAAGCAGCCTCGCAAACCTCGTAAGTACCTTTATTCCAGAGGTCTCCTCTGTGAACAGTAACTGTTATTTTGGCTTTTGTTTGGAAAGCAGCATTGCTAAGAGAGCCTCTTCTGGCAGGGGAGAATTGTGCAATGAGTCATTAGGACCAACAATAAAAATAAAATATAAACATGGCCTTGGCTGGGTGTGGTAACTGCACCATCTTACATTCCCACCAGCAGTGTATGAAGGTTTCTGCTTTTCCACATCCCTGTCAACATTTGTTATAGCAATAGCCAGTTTTACAAGATAGCTCTCTCTTTTCCTCTCTCATAAATAGGTATGGTTCTCCAAGGGTGATGCTTTTATATACTTCTTGGACTCTCTGTATTTTTAGCCCATCTACTTGAGAGAGATGAGTTCCTTTTGCTAATTACCATTTGAAGAGATTTTCTTTGTCCTGAAAAGGCAGTCTTCTGTTGCTTATATACCCATATTGGGATAAAAATGTTGATATTCTTGGCCAGGTGCGGTGGCTCACGCCTGTAATCCCAGCACTTTGGGAGGCTGAGCCAGGCAGATGACAAGTTCAGAATTTCGAGACCAGCCTGGCCAACATGGTGGAACTCCTTCTCTACTAAAAATACAAAAATTAGCCAGGTGTGGTGGCATGCGGCTGTAGTCCCAGCTACTTGGGAGGCTGAAGTGGGAGAATTGCTTGAACCCGGGAGGTGGAGATTGCAGTGAGCCAAGACCATGCCATTGTACTGCAGCCTGGGTAACAGAGTGAGACTCCATCTCAAAAAAAAAAAAAAAAATTGATATTCTTTTTATAGCTTCAGATTCAGAAACTAGAGCTATATGAATTTTTATCTAGATTTATGTAATGCCGGAAACTGATTCACAATAAGTGTAATCCCAGCACTTTGATAGGCCAAACAGCTGGATCACTTGAGGCCAGGAGTTCGAGACCAGCCTGGCCAACATGGTGAAACCCTGTCTGTACTAAAAATACAAAAATTTAGCAGGGCGTGGTGGCACCCACCTGCAGTCCCAGCTCCTCGGGAGGCTGAGGCAGGAGAATCGCTTGAACCCAGGAGGTGGAGATTGCAGTGAGCCAAGATCACACCACTGCACTCCAGCCTGGGTGACAGAGCAAGGCCCTGTCTTAAAAAAATAAAATAAGACTGGCCTGACTTTTAGGCTGTTCTGAGGCGCTTCCTGCAAGAACTATGGGAAAAGCATCTTTCCTTTATGTCTGTAGAACATGATGAGGTAAAGAGCCTCCAAAACCAATATAGATTTGTAAAAGAATGATCAAACTCGGAGGAAGGACTTTAAAGGTGTTTCATTGAGATTCGTCTTTTTGTTTCATGGAAGAAGCTGACCTTAGGAGGGTAAATTTTCCAGGGTCATCGCTAATGGCGTAGTTGGGGCTATAATTAGGGCTCCTGACACCCTGTTCAGTGTTCTTTTGTTGTAGCCTGTTGCCAGTTATGTGCTACTTTAGTCAGTGTGTGATTTTGCACTTGTGGGTTACCTACCTGTGGATTGGTTACAAATTCTAATGGAAGTTTAATTTCATTGAAAATGTTCATAGGGGGTCATAGTGAGGAACACAGGCTCAGCCCATTGTGGCAGTGTTGTATACCAGTCTTTTCAGGATATAAAAATCAGATAAGGCTAAGTTCTGTGGGGTGATTATATGCTGTGCTTGGACCATAGTAACACCCGGCTTTCTTTTACATGAAGCTCAGCCTCCAGGACCCTGCTGGTTTTGCCTTGCTAGCCCTGAAGTGGAAAAGCATTTGGTGGTCAACATCGGCACACATGTGAGTTACTTCCTTGGACCTTTATAGAGAAGGAGGTGCCTATTTGTTTTTTAGTAACTTTATTGAGGCATAATCTACATATAACATTTACCCATGTTTAAGTGTACGATTCAGTGATTTTCATAAGGTTACTGAGTTATGCCACCATCACATAGTATAGTTTTAGAACATTTTTATCATGGCAGTAAGATCTCTTATGCCCATTTACAGTTAATCCCTGTTCCCAACTTTAGCCTCAGGCAGCAAGTAGTCTACTTACTATCTCCATAGTTTGCCTTTTTTGGACATTTCTTATAAATGGAATCATACAACATGTAGTCTTTTGTGTCTAGCTGTTTTTACTTAGCATCGTATTCATGAGGGTCATCCATGTTGCAGCATGTATCAGTATTTCATTCCTTTTTATTGCCAAATCATATTCCAGTGTATAGATATACATTTTGTCTATATCCGTTCATCAATTGATGGACATTTGGGTTGTTTCTACTTTACGGCTATTAGAAATAATGCTCCCATAAAATATCTGCATGCAAGTCTTTGTGTGAATATATGTTTTTATTTTGGATACACCTAGGAATGGATTTGCTAGGTTATATGGTAAATTTATGTTTAACTTTTTAAGAAACTGCTAAACTGTTTTCCAAAATGACTGCACCATCTTATATTCCCACCAGCAATGTATGAAGGCTTCTGCTTTTCCACATTCCTGCCAACATTTGTTATAGCAATAGCCAGTTTTACAAGATAGGTCTCTCTTTTCCTCTCTCATAAATAGGTATGGTTCTCCAGGGGTGATGCTTTTATATACTTCTTGGACTGTCTGTATTTTTTAGCCCATCTACTTGAGAGTGATGAGTTCCTTTTGCTAATTACCATTTAAAGTGATTTTCTTTGTCCTAAAAAGGCAGTCTTCTGATGCTTATGTACCCGTATTGGGTTAAAAATGTTGATACTCTTTATAGCTTCAGATTCAGAAGCTAGAGCTTTATGAATATATATATATATTTTTGAGATGGAGTATTGCTCTGTTGCCCAGGCTGGAGTGCAATGGCGCGATCTCAGCTCACTGCAGCCTCTGTGTCCCAGGTTCAAGTGATTCTCTTTCTTCGTCTTTATGTTTCACGGAAGAAGCTGACCTTAGGAGGGTAAATTTTCCAGGGTCATCGCTAATGGCATAGTTGGGGCTATAATTAGGGCTCCTGACACCCTGTTCAGTGTTCTTTTGTTGTAGCCTATTGCCAGTTATGTGCTACTTTAGTCAGTGTGTGATTTTGCACTTGCTTCCCAAGTAGCTGGGATTATAGGCACCTACCATCATGCCCGGCCAATTTTTGTATTTTTAGTAGAGACAGGGTTTCACCATGCTGGCCACGCTGGCCTCGAACTCCTGATCTCAGGTGATTTGCTCACCTCAGCTTCCCAAAGTGTTGGGATTACAGGCGTGAGCCGCCACACCCGGCCTATTAATTTTTATCTAGAATTATATAATGCTGGAAACTGATTCACAGTAACTGATCACATCAAAGATAAAACTTCAGTTTTGCTTAGTAGTGGAGGGTGTAGCTTACTAATGACAGGAATACCCATATTCACACTCCTGGTGTGAGTATCTAGGAACCCAAGATGATGATAAGGTTGTTTGGTAAGTATTGAATCAGACTATGAGAACGGGATGGTCTTGAGTATGATTTTATTCAGGTGGTGGAAAGCTTGAATGTGTGTGTCTCATGGGAAAGTCATTCTACTTCACATTTCCCCAGATACTTTTGCTTGTGTAGGGCTGGATTAGATATTAAATAATACCCGTCTTCGACTCTCATTTCCCTGGGGGTTTTCTATAGACCATTGTTGTTTTTCGTTCATTTAGAATGAAGAAAGCTTAATTTTTAACACTGTAGTCACTGATGACTGGAACTGGATGTTCCCCAGGATTCCTGAGGAAAATATTTACAAGCTGTTTTTGTTTTGTGACAGTTTTGGGAGGTGGGGCCTAATAAGTGGTGATGAGGTCATGAGGACTCTGCCCTCATGAATGGATTAATGTTATCACAAGAGTGGGTTATCATGAGAGTGGCTTTGTTAAAGTGAGTTCAGGTCCCCTTTTGCTCCTTTACTCTTACCCTTACTTGCCCTTCTGCCATGGGGTGATGCAGCACAAAGGCCATTGCCAGGTGTCAATGCTATGCACTTGGACTTCCCAGTCTACAGAACCACAAGCCAAATAGATTGCTATTCATATAAATTATAGTCTGTGGTATTCTATTATAGCAACACAAGATGGACTAAGACAATTCCTTAAATGTGTAGTGCTTCTGAAGACAGGTGCTGTCATCCATTTCTCATTGATTTGTTCTACTTTTGGTTTCCGGGATTGATCCTTTCAACTTATCCTAACAATCTGAGGACTCTTTTTTGTGTCTTCCTTCCTATAGACTGACTAGAGTTTCAGTTTCATCTTGTACTTTAAGGCGGTTACTCTTCTGCCTGTGTTGTTTCCACCTGCAGTCTCAGTCTTTTACATTTAAAAAAATGTCTTGGCTGGGTGTGGTGGCTCACGCCTATAATCCCAGCACTTTGGGAAGCTGAGGCGGGTAGATCACGAGGTCAGGAGTTCATGACCAACCTGGCCAAGATGGTGAAACCCTGTATCCGGGCGTGGTGGCGGGTGCCTGTAATCCCAGCTACTCAGGAGGCTGAGGCAGAGAATTGCTTGAACCTGGGAGGCGGAGGTTGCAGGCCGAGATGGCACCACGGCACTTCAGCCTGGGGGACAGAGCGAGACTCTTGTCACAAAAACAAAAAAAAGTCTTAATTAGTGGCACACTCCTATCTCTAGGGGGAGCACTAATGGGGTCAAGGCCTGTGACTCAGCTGAGCCACAAAACCTATTGGATGACATCTTGGGTGGAATAAGAGCAAACTTGAGAAGCTCTAGCTTTTACAGCAGTGCCCTTTTTGGATGATCTCTTTTGCATCTTTTTTCCTTTTTGGATTAGTTTATGCCATTTTTCTCTCCCACACAATTTGTATAGTAAGGCAGGCTTTGAATTGCCTTCTGTTTGGGAAGCTTCTGTAGGTTCAAGATCACACGCAGGAGATAAGAGATTTGGAATGTGTGACATAGCTCAGTGCTGCTCTAGGCCTTAGTGAGAAGTGACTTTTCTTTTCCGTTCATCTTTCTGTTGTCCAGGTTATCTAACTCAGGGTGTGGGCCTGGGCAACAATCAAGGAAATCTGTTTTCTTCTCATCTAGGCCTGAAACTAGAGGGGAAAAAGGTCTTGTGTGTGGGCCAACCCAACATCCCAAGTAGGCCACATGAGTATTTCAGCCTCAAGTCTACACTGTCCTTAGGTAGAAACCGCTTACAAACCTGTAATGACCTTTGGGTGTCTGGGGAAGGGTTTGGGATCTCCTCCCTGCAACTTTTCTTTTTGATTGCCTTTTTTTGTTTGTTAAATTTTTTTCCCCGGCTTTCTCTTTGCCGTGCCTTCCTCAAAGGTAGTACATAGAATTGTGCTGATGGTCCATAGCCACAGATTAGTTAAAAGGTGGAAGGGCTGCTGGCAGTCTAAAAAATTATTGCAAAATCAATGCATTTTACTTATGGGGAGAACCATTAGTTCAGGTCCTATTTATACATGGTTAGAGATAATTCTAGTATAGAACAGATTAGAAGGCGAGATTTTGAAAGAGAGAGGAGATTAGGCAAGTGTGAAACTTCACAAAAATTGCAAGTACAGGATTAGAGATGGTGCAGAGGAGCTATTTAGTTTAGACATCATTACCTAAAGAATGCGTATCATAATAGAAAAGCTGATATTTATGGCAGTGACCTTCTGACAAAAAAAGCTAGAAGACTCAGGCTTCTAGAGTAACCTTTTAAACAAATACAATATAAAGTGGTTATTATAAAAATAAAAAAAAAAATTTTAGTGCCTATGAGGTTTTCATCAACTTTAGTCATCTGGAAAATTAACTTTGTCAACATGCCCGGTCCTCTCTGCCAAACAAGTCAAGGACAATCATGCTTTAGTATCTTTCCAATACATATCCTGTCATTCTATTGGACTTTCTTATTTAGATGAGAAATTATTCCCTCCTTCAGCCTTAACTTTGAGCCCACCACACTAAGAGTATACTTGGGATAAATTTTTTTTTTTTTTCCCCCGAGACAGAGTCTTGCTCTGTCATCCAGGCTGGAGTGCAGCGGCACGATCTCGGCTCACTGTAACCTCCGTCTTCCAGGTTCAAGCAATTCACCTGCCTCAGCCTCCCAAGTAGCTGAGATTATAGGCGTGCACCACCATGCCCAGCTAAGTTTTGTATTTTTAGTAGAGATGGGGTTTCACCTTGTTGGCCAGGCTGGTCTTGAACTCCTGACCTCACAATCCACTTGCCTCGGCCTCCCAAAGTGCTGGGATTACAGGCATGAGCCAGTGCGCCCAGTCTGAATAATTGTTTTCTAACGTATCTATGTTTGCCTATACTGCTACTCAATGGGCCCTTCTGTGCTCACTCATGGCATCTTCCCATCAGAGAATATCTGAGTGGTAGAACATTCTTGCATGTTTTGGTTTTTACAGAAATATTTTTAGTTGCCATTAAAGGCTGACATCCATTGTTGGAAACCATTCTTTTCTGCCTCTTTGGATGCATCTGAGTTTGAAGTTTTACTTTCCTTCTACCCCATTAGGTTGTATGTTTGCTTTTGTTTTGTAGAGTTTAGTCAGCAGCTTAAGGCTTAGGAACATTAGATACTAAGCATGCCATCTTAGCCTTTTTTGTGAGCCCAAGGAGTATATTTGGGGTGAGGGGTGGGAATTAAAGTTACTGGGGAGGCAGAAAGTGGTCATTTTCTTTTTGAGATGGAGTCTCACTCTGTCACCCAGGCTGGAGTGCAGTGGCACGATCTTGGCTCACTGGAACCTCTGCCTCTTGGGTTCAAGCAGTTCTCCTGTCTCAGCCTCTCGAGTAGCTGGGACTGCAGGCACATGCCATCACAGGCCTGGCTAGTTTTTGTATTTTTAGTTAAAATGAGGTTTCACCATATTGATCATCCTGGTCTGGAACTTCTGACCTCAGGCGGTCCACCTGCCTCGGCCTCTCAGAGTGTTGGGATTACAGGCGTGAGCCACTACCCCAGCCGCAAGTGGTCATTTTGAAATCAGAAGTTGTATCTTTTTGTGGTTGAGGGTGATAAAAACTGAAAAACTGTTTTCAAGTTTGGAGCCTGGGAGGGAAAACGCAGCAATTTGTTCTGGTCTCCCTCAGCTCAGTGTGTTTGAAGCCAAAAGCCTGTTTGTGTGCCTCTCCCAATTCATTTACTCCTAGTTCATTTGCTACTTGTATAGAAATTTTTTATGTCTAATTTGATTCTTCAGCGGATACTTGAGAACATTGTTGCTGCAATCTCTAAAATCAGAGTTTTTAAAGAAAGAATTTTTATTAATAACCTCAAGTACTTCTCCTACATCCTGAGACTCACTCTTTGTATAGGCTTTTCTCCCTGGAGAATCCTACATGCTGTATTGATGTCTCAATTCTGTGTGCTGCTTCTTCAGTGCTACCTCGCCCTGGCCAAAGGAGGCTTATCTGATGACCATGTCCTCATCCTGCCCATTGGACACTACCAGTCAGTGGTGGAGCTTTCAGCAGAGGTGGTAGAAGAGGTGGAGAAGTATAAGGCCACACTGAGACGGTTCTTTAAGAGTCGAGGGAAACGGTGTGTTGTATTTGAGAGAAATTATAAGAGCCATCACCTCCAGCTACAGGTAGGTGATCTGTTCATAGAAATGTGGAAGGGCACTATGGGGACCTTGATATTGGTAAATAAATATTTAAATAGGCCAGGCGAAGTGGCTCACGCATGTAATCCTAGCACTTTGGGAGGCCAAGGTGGTTGGATTGCCTGAGTTCAGGAGTTCGAGACCAGGCTGGGCAACACGGTGAAACCCTGTCTCTACTAAAAATACAAAAAAATTAGCTGGGCATGGTGGTGGGCGCCTGTAATGCCAGCTACTTCGGAGGCTGAGACAGGAGAATCGTTTGAACCTGGGAGGCGGAGGTTGCAGTGAGCTGAGATTGTGCCACTGCACTCCAGCCTGGGTGACAGAATGAGACTCCATCTTAAAAAAAAAAAATTTAAATAATGTTTAGCTTTAATATTTAAAGTATTTAATATTTTTATATTAATATTTAAATAACGTTCATTTAAAAAGTTTTTAAAAAGTATCTGGTGGTAACCCAAGAGACTTCACAGGGAAGTGTGTGGTCAGTACATGTAAAGAGCATAGATAGTAAGTTCTTTGTTTAGAACAGGAATGGGTAGTTGAGGAAGTTCCGAGGAAGTGCCAAAGAAGATGTGCAGCTTGTTGGATAAGAATTTAGAAGAAAGTGAGTATTTTGTGTGGAGGCCCAGCATGAGGGAAAACTTAGTGGTAGGAAATAGTCTCAAAGCCTGCATGGGGCTAGCAGCTCAGAAAATCAGATTGTAGATCATTTGTAGTTGTGGTGGTTTTCTTTTTGGCACATTTGTTAAGTTTTCAAATGGGCCTAACTCTGCCACATATATAATATCGGAGATGGCAAAGGCTTGTGACAGAGATATCTCTCTTAAGCCTTTCCTGCATCAGAGAATGGCTCCCACATGTGGCAGGCTGTCTCATAAGTTTAAGTCCTTACAGACCGGCTGACACAGGCTTGTCTGGCCTGAGGAGATTCTGTGCTGAGGGGTGTTTCTCTACCCCTGTGATGGATTTGCTACTTCTCAGAGACCGTGCAGGCACAACTTCTCTGGGACCTGCACAAAGAATTTCTCCTTTCTCCCCAACCCCCAGGTCATTCCTGTCCCAGTCAGCTGCTGTGCTACTGATGACATTAAAGATGCCTTCATTACCCAGGCCCAGGAGCAGCAGATAGAGCTGTTGGAAATCCCAGAGCACTCTGACATCAAGCAGGTGAAACGGGATGGTGATATTCAGGGAAGAGTAAAGATCTGTTTTTTCTGTTGTTGTTTCTTTGTGTTTTTGAGACAGAGTCTCGCTCTGTTGCCCAGGTTGGAGTGCAGTGGCACAATCTTGGCTCACTGCAACCTCCACCTTCCAGGTTCAAGTGATTCTCCCACCTCAGCCTCCCTAGTTGTTGGGACTACAGGCATGTGCCACCATAACGTGGCTAGTTTTTGTATTTTCAGCAGAGATGGGGTTTCACCATATTGGTCTGGCTGGTCTCGAACTCCTGACCTTGTGACCTGCCCGCCTCGGCCTCCCAAAGTGCTGGTGTTAGAGACATGAGCCACCCGTGCCCGGCAAGATCTGGTTTTTGACATGTTGAGCCTAAGGTGCTATCAAGGCATTCCAAAAATGTTATTAAATAGGCAATGGGTCGGGCATGGTGGCTCACACCTGTAATCCAACATTTTGGGAGGCCAAGGCGGGAGGAGCACTTGAAGCCAGGAGTTCAATACCAGCCTGGGCAACAAAGTGAGACACCTTGTCTCTACAAAAAATTAAGAAATAAGCTGTGCATGGTGGCACGTGCCTGTAGTCTTAGCTACTCGGGAGGCTGAGAGTCAGGAGGATCACTTCAGCCTAGGAGTTGGAGGATGCAGTGAGGTATGATTGCACCACTGGACTTCAGCCTGGGCAACATAGCAAAACCCTGTCTCAAAAAAACACACAAAAAACCAAAAGAGGGAGTGGACAATTTGGAACTAGAGTACTGGGTATTGACTAGACTGGAGATGAAGAGGGCATTACTCCAAATGCTTTCCTGGGAAGAGCATTTTCCTAGTGCTTTCCTGGGAAGAGCAAGAAATTAGAATTTCCTAAGGTACGAACTTAGAAGGATGGATGCCACTGGGAGGATATTGGTAGTATCTTCCAGTTAGGCTTTTTAAGCCCTAGTTCCACTAAGTGGCTTGGGATCTGTAGCAACATACACATCTTTTTTCTTGTGCATTTAGACTGAATTCTTTGCCTAGAGATAAACAAGGATTATAGATTTTTAAAGCATTATTGGACATCCTCATACAACTCTGTTTATTTTAGATTGCACAGCCAGGAGCAGCATATTTTTATGTTGAACTTGACACAGGAGAAAAGCTTTTCCACAGAATTAAAAAGAATTTTCCTTTGCAGTTTGGAAGGTATGTTTTTCTTCTTTTCAATGTATTTTCACTAGACTTTGTATGAACAAAGTGGTGGGTACATGGGACAATTGATAAAAAGCTAAATTGTAAACAGTCCTTGCCCCAAAGGACCCATGGTCTTAGGGCAGATGTTTACATATATGACAGTAATGTAATGTAGAGTGTGAAGAGTACCATGACAGAGTTTTGGAGAATAATGTGCTGTAGAAATTCAGAAAAGGGACAGCTCATTTCTACTTGGTGAAAACCTTCATGAAAGTGGCAAAGTTAAACCTGAGAGTCATATTTACAGGGGAAAGATTGGGGTGAGGGCATTCTAGCCAGAAGTGCTAGGGAACTTTAATTGAGCACATACTCTGTGCCAAGAACTGTGCCAAGAACTTTACACATACATGACTCATTTAATCTTCACAGCTCTGTAAGGTAGGTACTGTCATCCCGATTTACCAGTGTGGAGAATGAGGCTCTAGAGTAGTGCCCAGTAGACTTTTCACAACGATGGAAATGCTCAAATACATGCACTGTCCAATACAGCAGTGACTAGCCACTTGTGGCCACTGAGTGCTGAAATGTGGCTAATGTGACTGAGGAACTAAATTTTTGATTTTATTTAAGTAATTAGAATTTAAATTTAAATAGCCATACCTGGCTTATGGTTACCCCACTGGATAGCAGGCTATAGAGAGGTTAGGTAACTTGTCTGTAGTCACACAGTGGTAGGTTCAAATGCAGGCCTGTTGGACCTCAAAACTTAGGTCTTAACCTCAGTATTCTACAGTATGGTAAAGGCCTGGAGGAGGCTTCAGTTCCTTTCCTCGTATCAGGCAAAACGTGACTGCAAAACCATAGAGGGAGTAACATAACTTAGGCAAAGATTGAAGATGGAAAGTTGCTGACAAGAAGATACAGTTTGAAGGGGAGTGGAAAGTGTGTAGAAGAGAGTATCTGATGCTGGTGTCTGTGATTTGCAGCTATTTCTTCTCCTGTAGTTAACAATGGGCTTTGAGTGAGCCTTGAACCTGTCTTGGACTAATTCAGAAAGCCTCCAAGAGACTGTCGCTTTAGATAGGTCCAGTAAAAGTAGTTGTCTGCATTTTTCAGAAAGATAAATGGGAACAAGTGTGTTACGAGCTTTAGACATCTGACATGATTTTTTGTTGTTGCCTCAGCAACAGATGCAGTTATGAACATTGACAACATAAGCACACGATTGCAGATACACATAGGTGTATAAAGCACACAAAAAGGAGATTCTCTGAATGGTTTTGTGCTTATGATAGTTGTATTTTCAGTATTGAGTAATTATCAAGATACTAATTTATAGTTATATAGCATTTTATAGTTAACAAAATATTTGAAATGGCATTTTTTTCAGCTGTACAAGAAAGGTAGTTCTATTTTCCTTTTACATTGGAAATAGGCTCAAAGTTTGCCTATTGAAAAGAGCGTAGGTTCTTTGACTTTTAGAGCATTTGTGATTTTTTTTTTTTTTTTTTTTTTTTTTTTTTTTTTGAGACGGAGTCTCGCTCTGCCGCCCAGGCTGGAGTGCAGTGGCCGGATCTCAGCTCGCTGCAAGCTCTGCCTCCCGGGTTCACGCCATTCTCCTGCCTCAGCCTCCCGAGTAGCTGGGACTACAGGCGCCCGCCACCTCGCCCGGCTAGTTTTTTGTATTTTTTAGTAGAGACGGGGTTTCACCGTGTCAGCCAGGATGGTCTCGCTCTCCTGACCTCGTGATCCGCCCGTCTCGGCCTCCCAAAGTGCTGGGATTACAGGCTTGAGCCACCGCGCCTGGCCTCGTGATTTGTTTCTAACTCTTCTATTTATTGTAACTTCAGAGTGGAAAATGAACCACATAAATGTGTAATAGAATTATTTCTAATATATCAAAATAAATAAAAATATAAAGCAATGGCAATTAGAAGGCAGCTTGTGTGTGTGTGTCTGTATGTAGTTATTCCTTAGTCCTAAGAACCAAGATAAGTTGTTTTGTTGATATTGGGCTTATGCTGCTGTTATGTGGGCCTGAGTCCCCTAGAAGGAGAGGCAGAGGAGTTTTAAATCAGAGTGGGTACGACTAGGCTCCTGACTCTGCAAACTCCATGTCTAGTTGAGGTGACAAAACTACAGTTTAAGGCAGGTTGTAATCACAGTTAATATGGTACTTTGTGTTATCTCTGTACCTCACAAAAACCCTGTATGGTGGGTATTCTTATTTGCATTTCATAGGTGAGGAAATTAAGACTCAGAGATGAAATCATCTGTCTGAATCATAGATAGCAAGCAGCAAAGCTGGAAATGGAATCCAGTCTCTGATCTTTCTCACACCAGGGCCTGCCCTTTTTCTACTATGTGGTGTTGCTTCTCTAAGTACCAATAATATAGTTCCGAGTTTTTTAAGAGAGGGAGAAGCAAGTGGGGTTTAAAGGATCAGGAAATAAATAGTACCTGAGCCGGTCATTTAAAATGGGTATGATTTGATCAATAGTATGCCAGAGATGGCACTCAGGGCAGGAGAGCAAAGTCAGATAAATCTGCATACCTTCCTTGGGTGATGTTGAGAACTCAGGCTTTTAGTTTCCATTTTGACTTCTTTGTGCTCCTTCTGCAGGGAGGTCCTGGCCAGTGAAGCCATCCTTAATATTCCTGGTAAATCTGACTGGAGGCAGTGTCAGATCAGTAAGGAAGACGAGGAGACCCTGGCTCGCCGCTTCCGGAAAGACTTTGAGCCCTATGACTTTACTCTGGATGACTAAACAAAGGGAAGACCTTTTTATGAACTTCATAGGAAGTAGTAAAGCCTTTTTCTTTTTTTTTTTTAATTAGAAGAATTTTTTTTGAGACAAGGTCTCGCTCTGTCACCCAAGCAGGACTGCAGTGGCGCAATTTTGGCTCACTGTAGCCTCAACCTCCTGGGCTCTAGAGTTCTTCCCACCTCAGCCTCCTGAGTAGCTGGGACCACCAGGCGCATGCTACCATGCCTGGCAAACTTTTTAAATTTTTGGGTAGATGGTAGAGACGGGGGTCTCCCTGTGTTGCCCAGGCTGGTCTGTAATGCCTAGGCTTAAGGGATCCTCCGCCTTGGCTTCTTAACCTGCTGGGATTACAAGCATGAGCCACCATTCCTGGCCTAGAAGCATATTTTTAAAGAAACTACAATCTCCCATGGGGACTGTTTCCCTGCCTCTTTTGTGCAGTCCCATGGAACTTGCCTGCAGCAAGAGGCCTAAGATTGAATCTTTTTGGGGAAAAGTCATTCTAGGATGAAAATCCTATGTTAAGGCCTGGCGTGGTGGGGCTCATGTTATAATCCCAGCATTTTGGGAGGCCCGAGCGGGCAGATCACCAAGGTCAAGAGAATGAGACCATCCTGGTCCCAACAGATGGTAAACCCTGTCTCTGCAACAGTAACAAAAATCAGCTGGTGTGGTGCCACACCCTATTAGTCCCCAAAGCTACTCAGGAGGCCTGAAGGCAGACAATTGCTTGAAACCTGGGAGGTGATTGCAGTTGAGCAAGGTTGCACCGCGCACCCAGCCTGGGTGACAGAGGCAGACTCTGGTCCAAAAAAAAAAAAAATCCTATGTTAAAAAGCATGTCGCCAAGGCACAGTGGTCATGCCTGTAATCCGGACTTTGGGAGGCCGAGGGCAGTGGATACCTGAGACTGGAGTTGGAGACCAAGCCTGGCCAACATAGGTGAAACCCGTCTTTACTAAAACTACAGAAAATTGAGTTGGTGTGGCCAGTGCTTGTAATCTCAGGCCACGTCGGAGGTGAGGCAGGAGAAATGCTTGAACCGGAAGGTGGAGGTTGGCCGTTATGAGCCGAGATGCTCCGCTTTGCACTCCAGCCTAGGTGACAGCGGAAACTCATCTTCAAAATAAAAGAATAAAAGTATGTCTGTCATCCAGCTTCAAGTACAGCTTGTGTATATCAACATTTTCAAAAACCTTTAAACTACCAAATGAAATCCAGATGTTTTTCCATGGTTGAGAAGTGTCTTGTGTTCATGTTGCCTATGACCATTGAAATGAAGTAGTATGTGTAATTGGAGGGGCTAGAGCTTTAGGCCCAGCTGTTCCAGAATCACACAGGGCAGTTTCTCCCTGAGCAACCCAAAGTGGAGAAGGGATCCAAGGCTTTTGCTACTTTTCTCTTAAAGCATTCATCTTATTCATAGAGAAGAGCCCATTTAGTCCTTCAGATATTTAACTCTTATGTGCCAGGCATTTTTCTAAGCTCCAGGACCATAGTCTTGTCCCAGTATGGTCCCTGTTGTCCCAGAGATTACAGTTTAATGGGGAAGAGAAAGGACAGATTTAAAAAAAAAAAGGATAAATTCTGCTTTGGATATTGTTGTTTTATGTGCTTGATATATCTAATGTGTGTCTTTTGTGCTGGTGAGTTCTAAACTCATTGGTACCTGGGTTGGTTACAGGGCTTTGGAGATCATCAAGGTATAGGCCATAGGTGAAATTAAGATAGGGTAAATACAGTCCTGAGCTGAAGATGATTGCCTAAGAAATATCAGTTTGTGTTTTGTTTTGTTTTTTTTTTGGAGACGGAGTCTCGCTCTGTTGCCCAGGCTGGAGTGCAGTGGCCAGATCTCAGCTCACTGCAAGCTCTGCCTCCCGGGTTTACGCCATTCTCCTGCCTCAGCCTCCCGAGTAGCTGGGACTACAGGTGCCCACCACCACGCCTGGCTAATTTTTTGTATTTTTAGTAGAGACGGGGTTTCACCATGTTAACCAGGATGGTCTTGATCGCCTGACCTTGTGATCCGCCCATCTCGGCCTCCCAAAGTGCTGGGATTATAGGCTTGAGCCACCGCGCCTGGCCAGAAATACCAGTATTTAAGGAGGGCTTGAAAATAGTGATCTAACATTTACATGGAGAAGGAGCAAAGAGAATACTACATAGTAGGAGCAAAAAGAAAAATATTTTTACCTTTATATTGGGCACTTACGGTCCAGACACTGTTTCATTTAATCTTCACAAAATCTCTGTGAGGTAGGTATTACCTCTATTTTACATGAAAAAGAATAAAAACTGAGACTCAGAAAATTGAAGATTGTGGAGCCTGGGGTCAACAGGCTTAGGCTTTTTAAAAATTTGAAGGCTGGTCGAGGTGGCTCACGCCTGTAATCACAGCACTTTGGGAGGCTGAGATCAGGAGTTCAAGAGCAGCTTAACCAACATGGTGAAACCCTGTCTCTACTAAAATAGAAAAAATTAGCCAGGCATGGTGGCACACACCTGTAATGCCAGCTACTTGGGAGGCTGAGGCAGTAGAATTGCTTAAACCCGGGCAGTAGAGGTTGCAGTGAGCTGAGATCACGCCATTGCACTCCAGCCTGGGTGACAGGAGTGAAACTCTTGTCTCAACAACAAAAAACAACTCAAATTACTATGGCCCTGGGAATGGGGGCATTTAAAAAGTTAACAAAGGGAACCAAGCTGGTTTCCACAAAGATGGCCACTTCCGGGTCAGCCCAATCATCCGTATCCCTGGGTCCTCAGCATCCCTTCCTCTTTTGAGTGGGAATTATGAGATTACAGCCCCACCTATGGAAATTGAGCACACTAGCACTGGCCATGCTGTACATACATCAAATGAGAGGGCTTCATACTGTTATAACGATCTGTACCACAATTCTCTGTGCGGTCTGCCCAGCTCTAAATGACATGTCCTCAGAGGCGCCATCATCTCCAAGTCCATGGAAACCATGCACTTATAGAAACCAGAACCTCCCATACCACATGTTACTAATGACCTACAACATTGACTTGGTCTGTATCATGCAGTGCTCAACATTCTGGTTGCAGCATCACATTTCTCAAGAATTTGATTCCATGCTGACTCCTTTACTTGGAGTATTGAGATTCCCCAGGTACAGTGAAACTATGAGCCTCTCAAATGGAAGACCAGAAGCTGGTTCCCCTATGCTATGTCAATCCGCCACCCGGAAGCACTTGCTGCACCAACAGCATTCCCAAAGCTTGCCTCTGCAGCCCTGCAGCACCCATTAGAAACACTTCTCACAATGAACTGCTGTGCTGGCAGAGCCCTAACTGGACTGCTGGACAGCAAGCTCTGTGAGGCATCTAGGAAAAAAGTTCCCGAAATCCCGAGAAACATTCTTCACTCCGGAATAGCATCACATCATTGAGTCATTTGGGATGACGGGGCATATCATGGAGCAGGTGTATTGGGAAGTCAGTGAACAGTAAGGCTAATTCATTAGTGGGCCTGCTGGCGTAGTATTTTTCCAGTTCCGCAGCCTTTAAATCATTGGTGGTCTTTAGCGTGCCGGATCAGCGGGTGGTGGAGTTGGAGGATAGATGGCAGGGATCTGAAGAAAGGTGAAGTGTAGACGAGTGGAGACAATGTGAAGTTTAGAAAAGACTAATTGCCGGGCGTGGTGGCTCACGTCTATAATCCCAGAACTTTGGGTTGCCGAGGTGGGAGGACTGCTTGAGGCCAGGAGTTCGGGACCAGCCTGGGCAACGTAGCAAGACCATGTCTCTACAAAAAACAAAAAAACCAAGCGAGGTGGTGTGCGCCTGCAATCCCAACTACTCGGGAGGTGGGAAGATCGCTCAATTCCGGGAGGTCGAGGCAGCAGTGAGCCGTGATCATGCCACTGCACTCCAGCCTGGGCAACGGAGCAAGACCCCATCTTAATTAAAAAAATATATTTAATACAGGAGAGACTGGACTGCTTTGAAAAGTGGATTTGATGGGAATGCGAGGTTTGGAGAGATCTTATGTTTTCCAAGACTAGAAAAACATTGTGGTTCCGTTCAGCCCTCCCAGAAAATACCTAGGGGACTTAAAGAGCGGACCGAGTACCTGTTCGTTTCTCCACCCCTTAGCCGGCAGGGCTCCGGCGGCGCCCTGGGAAAAAGTAGGGAAGGGCCGTTCTCGCAGCGGTTACCGGAAGTGACGCATTCATTCTCGCGAGAAGGAAGACGCGCGAGCATCCGCGGCCCGGAACCGGCCTTGGAACAGCGGCGGAGCCTGAGGCCGCTTGCCCTCCCGCCCCATGGAGCGGCCCCCGGGGCTGCGGCCGGGCGCGGGCGGGCCCTGGGAGATGCGGGAGCGGTTGGGCACCGGCGGCTTCGGGAACGTCTGTCTGTACCAGCATCGGGTGAGGCGGGGCGCGAGAGGGAGCGGCGGTGGGTTTGAGCGTCTGTGGAACACAGGGCTGACAGTGTGGGATAGATGGTTAGTGGGACCTTGGGCAGTATTTGTGGGCCAGTAGGCTTGTGTGTGTGTATGAGAGAGAAAGATACTCTGCCTGTGTGTCCAAAGTTGTATCTGAGGTACTGGGCATAGATAGAGCTGTTGCGGGGAACTTGGGTATGACTGTCAAGCTGTGACCAGGTGTTTAGTGAGTGTGACAGTGCGCGTGTGTCTCTGTGAATGTAGAGTGTCAGGGTGTGTGAGGCAGATGCACGTCACAGTGTGTATGTGTGAGCACGAATGTGTGAGAAGAGGGTTGAAGGAGACTGCCTGTTGGAATGTGTGCGTCCGTGTGTATGGGTCCGTGTGTGCGCGCGCTTGCTTGGAGGCCGTGTGGTATCAGTGGGGACTGCAGTAGACAAGGAAGGCTTCATGATGGGTCCAGAGTTAAACCTTTGGAAGTATGGATGGGCTTTGGAATTGGGGATGTATTCCAGGTCGGGACAGTATGAGGGTAAGTTGGTGCAGATCATGGCTTCAAACGGAAGGCGATATTAATAGATTGGAGATGGGGGGCGCTCCAGTCAGTGGAGGACAGTTAACATCAGACTCAAGAATTTTACTTTGATTTAATAGAGAATGTTTAACCATTGTAGCAGCAGTTAAAAAAATAATATTTGGGTCATGTTTGTGTGTTTGTTAGTTTTTGTTTTCGAGACGGAGTCTCACTCTGTTGCCCAGGCTAGAATGTAGTGGCGCGATCTCGGCTCACTGTAGCCTCCTCCTGGGTTCAAGCGATTCTCCTGCCTCAGCCTCCTGAGTAGCTGGGATTACAGGCGCCCGCCACCGCGCTGGGCTAATTTTTTGTATTTTTAGTAGAGACAGGGTTTCACCATGTTGGCCAGGCTGGTCTCGAACTCCTGACCTCAGGTGATCCATCTGTCTCAGCCTCCCAAAGTGCAGGGATTATAGGCGTGAGCCACTGCGTCAGGCCTGGGACATGTATTTTTTGTTATAAAAAATGATAATCAATAAAAGCTGTGAACCCTTTCCCCAGAAAAATGCACAGATGCACATCCACGCAACCATGCATTGCCATTTGAGAGGTTCATGCTTTCCTAAA